CTGAGTGCGAATGACAAAATTGAGGCTGACATTCAGACGTTTTAATTTAAAATAATCTAAATTTTATTCAAGTAAATTAAAATTTATTCAACTTAAACTGAAACTAAATTTAAATTAAATTAAAATAGATTTAAATAAATTTATATATAATAATTCGTTAGAATACACCATTTATGTAATATAAACATGGTAGTATATGCACACCAGTTAAAGATGTACACAGCATTAACTGTACATAATATAACATATAAGAATCATTATAATTACAAACAATTTAATAAAGTAAATTCTTTGTAATTACTTCTAAATTATTAATTTGTAATGATTTGTAATAATTACAAATAATTTAATAAAGTGAATTATTTGTAATTATTACAAAATTGTTACAAAGAAGAGATTGAAGATATTTACACTGTGTTATTGCTTTTAATGTGATTTAATAGTTTATACTGGAAGATATGGTGAGAATCATGGAAATAATAATAATAATAATAATATTAAATCCCTTCTGTTTTAGGCACCAACAAAATTATTGTGGAGTTAGTGAACGAATTGGCCCGACTACTCGAAAGTAAGTACTTGACATTTTATATTAGTATTCTCTCTTATATTTAATTAATTTATTTAGAAATTTGTTTATTTATTTTATAAACGCTTTTATACATTCACTTTTAATATGAATATTAGAAATTGTACCAAAATTGTACACAGGCGGACTTATCCCTTAAAGAGATTTGTTCCAGTCATAATTGGTAATTGAATTATATAATTGTATGTTAATCTATACTAATTGTTTCAGATAACGACAACAAATGGAGCCGCGACGACTTGGTCACAGCATACGACAAGGGTGAGCGGTGTTCCTCCACTACAATTCTTAATTTCTTACTAATGTTACGAAAATTTATTTATTTATAATTTTGCACATATTACACAAAATAACTGTAATCAAATAACCAACTAGGGAACTTCTGGGATTTCTAACTCAACATTATCTTGTTCACAGTGACTTATATTTCTTTTTTTCATTTCTTTCCAGTTTCCAGCATGATGGGTCTGCTTGGTAACAGTTATAATGACGGACGTGAGTATTGGAATTTTAATTTATTACTTCTTACCTCTCATATTACAATTATTATAATAATAGTCAATAGACGGATTTATTAAAGAGAAAAAAGTAGAAGGAAAAGTAGAGGGCGAAAGAGGAAAGGGAAGACCAAAGAATAACTACATAGGACAGATAAAAGAAACACTAGGTGTCGTGTCGTGCAGGGAGGTCAAAGATATGGGCTGAAATGGAGCTGGTTGGAGTTAATGTTTAATATTTATTACATAAGTAAACCTTGGTAAAGAAAAAAAGACCAATTTGTAAATGCTGTGCCACTGCTGGATATAGGTCTCTCCCATGAAAGGGAGTTTTGCCAATAATTTCCACTCTTGGCAAACAAGTTGGCAACCACAGTTAGGCTTTAGTGATGTTTCAAGTCGGACGCTGCTGCCCGTCCCTCTTCCATTGAGTTACTTTAGTCGCCTCTTACGACACCCACTGGAAAGGAAGGGGTGGCCCATTCTATGCCGGGATCACACGGCACATTAATAACACTAAATAGGTTTCTTCGATTTTAATCATTCGAATTACTAATCACATCATTCTTTTTGCAGTTGGCGATGATCTCGTGGATTGTAAGTAGTTTAATTGTTTATCTTTAATTTATTAAAACAGTACAGCGTCATTTATGAGTGAAGTAAATTTTCAAACATATTTAAAAAAGAAAATAACAAGTCGTTTGTAAGCCTACATGAATTACATACGCTTACAAAGAAGTGAAATATTTTGGATTGTATACACCTATATATGTAAATAATAATAATACATACATACATTTATCAGAGAGAGCCTTTGTACAAAAGTCCAAGCAAACGCTTGGGCATCTCTGTAACATTCGTGTTTTAACCGTGAAGCAGTTGTGTTTGCATGGTTGTGTTTCGATTTGAAGGATGAGATATGGCAGTGAATTTACAGGCTACAGAGAAATAACACTTGAGTCCTCAGGAATGGCAACACATGGGAGGTATCATGGGCGAAATAGTATAATCTGTTATGTCCATGGTACTGCTCATATCTATAGGTGACAGTTACCATTTTCCATCAAGTGGAGCACCAGCTTATTTGTCATTCTAAGTTGCATAAAAAAAAGCATAAACAATAACATCCTATTTTCTCTTTCAGCCATGATCGATTATTGTAATGACGGTTTCAAGTCCCGAGGATACTCTGGTGAGTTTAATGAGTATTCTGTCATATATTTTGCAAAGCAAATATATATCCACCATGGTCGTTGTCTAAATATCTAAACAAACATCTATATTATATAAAAAATAAAAAGAAAGTCTAACATTATCACCAGTGAACATCCAACAGTCTGAACTGATGAATGCATCACCACAGTATATTCTGTGATATCCATGGAGCTGTTCATAGTATCATCACCATCATATCTTAACTGTCAACTAATAAATATAGACCTTCCCCGTAAAGAAAGGTTTTGCCAGTATTTACTACGCTTGGCAACCGCAGTTAGGCTTTGGTAAGGTTTGAAGAGGAACGCTGCTTCTCGTCTCTCGACTATTACATTCCCTTAGTTGCCTCTTATGACAGCCGCAGGGAACGAAGGAGTGGCCCATTCTTTGCGGGAGCCACACGACTGTTCATGTAGGTGACAGTTAGAATTCTCCACCAGGTGAACCTGTCAGCTATTCCATTATTCATTAAAAAAAAACTCTCTTTCTTCACAAAGTCATTTAAAATTTGATACCCCAAATAAGACACGCATTTCTATCGCTGTCAACACAAATATCTAAATAGTTACAGCAAATGTTAATACAATTTTCTTTTCTTTTTCCAGGTTTGGATTCGTTGGGATCGGATATAAGGAAGAGAATATCCGGATGCGGACGCTCCGACTTCAATGGCGCTCTGAGATTGGCATCTGACGCCAACAATAATATCAGTTCCATCGGCGACTCTCGCAATAATTTAGGCATTGACGACGTTAATGATGGAATTGACAGCGGTTTAGATAGAACGAGCAGTGCCAGTAGTAATGCAGCAAGAGTCGGCGATAGTTCCGACTATAATAGCAGTTCCAAGAGAAGTTCCAGCCACAGTAGCAGTTCCAAGAAAAGTTCCGAGTCTAGTTCCAGCTCAAGTAGCAGTTCCGACGATAGTGCCAGCTCTGATAACAGTTTCGACGCCAACAGCGCTAGAAATGCAGGGTTTAATAACGAATTCGGAGGAATCGGCGTCTCTCGCAATAATTTAGGTATTGACGACGTTAATGATGGAATTGACAGCGGTTTAGATAGAACGAGCAGTGCCAGTAGTAATGCAGCAAGAGTCGGCGATAGTTCCGACTATAATAGCAGTTCCAAGAGAAGTTCCAGCCACAGTAGCAGTTCCAAGAAAAGTTCCGAGTCTAGTTCCAGCTTAAGTAGCAGTTCCGACGATAGTGCCAGCTCTGATAACAGTTTCGACGCCAGCAGCGCTAGAAATGCAGACCTTAATAATGAAATCGGAAGTTCCAACAACGGTTTGAATGTAGAAGAGTGTTAATTATGCCGACTTACTGATTACAGCTCATCATGTAACTAATATTAAAATGTCTTTCATGAAATGATTATTGTAATTTAATGAAATTAATGATTTTATATCAAAATTCTTGTGATTAATGATTAATTGTTTCGGCTTCTTTTTCAAAATTCCTTTAATAAATGTTGATTGTACTTAATCTTCTGTCTTTGTTTTACTTACCCGCAGTATTCTTATCATTTCAGTTATAATAGATTTGAGATTTCGAATTTTAACATATAGCAATATAGAGTTGGCAGTGTGGTCCCGGCATAGAATAGGCCAGCCTTTGGATTTCCTGTGGGTGTCGTAAGAGGCGATTAAGGGACGGCGAGAGATAGGCAGCGGAGTCCCTGTTAAAAGCATCTTACTATATAAAAGAAGGTTCTCAAATCGATTGTATTTTTCTTTTGTTTGTTACCTCGTAACTCCGTCAACTATATCTTATGTGTATATACATATATTAATGTACTTAACCTTGGCGTTGTGTATTGTTCAGGGTTGCCAGGTGCAAAACAAAAAAAAATTTACATTTATAATATTAATAAGGACCTAATAGTGAGTTTGTTCGGAGGGAAAAGGATTGTTAGCAATGGAGTTTGACAGCCCCATTGCTAGCAATATGCCTTATTAGGTCGACCTCCACGTGGTTCCCCCTGGAAACCATCGTGAACAATTCTTGTTGAATTCGTCACGATGGGCTAACTGACCTGCTTCATCCTCACCTATATATATATAGCCCCATCGGTGTATACCAATAGCACGGGTGGGGTTACCATTCTATTATCATCCATTAAAAAACAAATAGTGAATTTGTTAGCGATGTGGTTTAACAGCCCCAATGCTAGCAATGTTACTAATCAGGTCGACCTCCACGCGGTTCCCCCTGGAAACCATCGTGGTAACATCTCGTGGAATTCATCACGATGGGCTAACTGATCTGCTTTCATCGTCATCTATCATCCCTCACTGGTGCCCCGCCAGCGTATACCGTCAGCGCAGGCGAGGTTATTATTGCATTATCACCCATTAAAAAAAAATAGTGAGTTTCGTTTACTTGTTACCTCTAAATGTCTTCACAAGTTAATGAAAGATTGTGTTTCACAAAAAAAAAACCCGACATATTGTCTATGAAACCATAGACAGCCATTTGATTTTTAAATCAACTTTGCCGCGATTAAAGTCAGAGTTTCTTTTTTTTGCACGACAAAATAAAACAGTTTACAAATAGTAAAATTATTAAAACAAAAAGGTACCCAAACACACACTCGTCGTGTTATTTCTCCATCAATTTTATTTCTCCAAATTTCTGGCATGCAAATTTTTACCTATACTTGCGTAAAATGTAGCCGATCTAGTGACGCCGGTACTGTCCCTCTTGAAGGACGTCAACCATTCGTATGTAACGAATGGAAACGTCACAATTGAAATAACCCGTTTTGTATGTCGCCTGCATTCAAAATGAACGCTCGTGTATTTGTCCTGTTGCTATTTTCCTCTTTAACATTTGCTACCAATTTTAATAAAATCACAAAGGTGTTTAGTTGGAAACAAATTAGTTACGACATTAAAGGTGTCTTATGTGAGTATTTAGTTTTATTATTTAAAATTTAAAATTAATTAATTTATTTTAAAATTAAAAATTATTTAAGAGTTAAGGAAAACAAATAAAAATAATTAATTAAATTTAAAATTAAAAAAATATTTAAAGGTTATGGAAAACAAACAAATTATAGGAACTATTTAGGTCAGAAGGGAAAAAATGTTAGGACACTTGGTATGATACGACGAACTTATGAACATTATAATAGAAGGAAGGGAAGGGAAGAGGGAGACCATGGCATAGTTTTTTTTTTTTTTGATGGGTTAAAATGGTATGGATACGCTGGCGGAACACCAGTGAAGGGTGATAGATGAGAATGAAAACAGGCCAGTTAGCGCATCATGATGAATTCACCAGGAATTAACCACGATAGTTTCCAGGGGAAACCGCGAGGAGGTGGACCTGGTTGGGTATATTGCCAGCAATGGGAATCTCAGTCTCCATTACTAACAATCCCTTTCCCCCCTACAGGGTAGGTTTATATTTAGCAAGCAACATTATAATGGTAGATATGGTAATCTGAATCACATTAAACCAATATTTTTCATGAATACATTTTCAGACCTAAACGACACGCAGTACGAAAGAAGCGAATCCAGTATATACTTCGACCAGGAGTTGGATGATTCGGAGAAATATTTCATACAGTACAACAATGTGCCTATAGGATTTGAAGTGTATGGTGATAGAGTATTCGTCACTGTACCCAGGAGGCGACATGGTAACCATAACATTACTGCCAACTTAAAATGGCAATCAAGCTGACGGTCCACCTGATGGAAAATGGTAACCGTCGCATATAGACATGAGCCCATGGACATAACAGAGTATACTGTTTCGCACATGATACCCCCCATGCGTTGCTATTCCTGAGGACTCAGGTGTTATTCCTCCGTACCCAGCAAATTCACGCCATATCCCACCCTTCAAACCGAAACACAGCCATGCAAACACAACTGCTTCACGGTTGAAACACGAATGGAGCAGAGGTACCCAAGCAATCGACTTTTACATTACATTAAAAATTTACATTTACATTAAAAAAACATATGTTTTTAACTCTTTACGCAATATTATTATAAATGTGAAAATTATTGTTTGTTATTTTATCTACTCCAACTACTGTCGAGGGCTGTGCTCGAAGTCTCTTTGCGTGATAGAATCCGAAACGAGGATATCCGCAAAAGAACCAAAGTAACCGACATAGCCCGAAGGGTAAGCAAGCAGAAGTGGCAATGGGCTGGTCACATAGCTCGAAGAACCGACAACCGATAGGGAAGAAAGGTTCTTGAGTGGTGACCACGTACATGTAAACGCAGTGTAGAACGACCCCCCACTAGATGGAGTGACAACCTGAAATTCGTTGCAGGGAGTCAGTGGATGCAGGTGGCTCGGGACCGTTCTTTATGGTGGTCTATGGGGGAGGGTTATGTCCAGCAGTGGACGGTTAACAGTTCATATGATAATGAAAAAATGTGTTATAAAGAAAATCTAATAATATTTATACTTTTCCAGGAATACCGTCTACTTTAAACTACGTTCAGCTCGGGGGACCATCGTCACCAACTCTGAAGCCGTACCCCAACCCGCGGTGGAGTAAACTCCTCGTCTCCACGTACCGCCCTAGAGTTGACTCCTGCGATAGACTGTGGGTGGTAGACACTGGACTTCTAGAAGTACCAGGTAGAATTTTTCTAAATTATATATATATATATATATATATATATATATATATATATATATATATATATATATATATATATATATATTTATACAATTTAGAATGGCAACCAAGCTGACGGCCCACTTGATGTAAAGTGGTAACCATCGCCTATAGACATGAGTAGTATCATGGACATAACAGAGTATACTGTTTCGCCCATGATACCCCCCATGCGTTGCCATTCCTGAGGACTCAGGTGTTATTCCTCTGTACCCAGTAAATTCACGCCATATCCCACCCTTCAAACCGAAGCACAGCCATGCAAACACAACTGCTTCACGGTTGAAACACGAATGGGACAGAGGTACCCAAGCAATCGACTTTTGTAAAAATTATATAAATATATTAATAGATTTGTTTGTTTGTAATGAATAAATTCATAAACTACTCAATCGATTTAAAGCGGTTACCGTAGCCTATGAACGGCTACAATACCAGGGGTATTACGCGCTCGTTGCCGACTCTGAAGAAACCTCTTTACCCATTTTTTAAAGTACCCCGTGCTGTAGTCTCTTGGAAAACCTCGACAAGGAGCTCATTCCATGACCTGGGTATTGGTGGGAGGAAGCACCTCTGAAACCGCGCTGTACGCGAAGTCGCAGGTTAAAGCTACTATTATATGAAATTAGCTTTAAAATATGGAGTTATTTTATTGTTATCGAGCTATTTGAGTTACGGTAGTCACTTACCACCAGGTGAGGCGCATGCCCATTTGCCCACTGTCCTGTGTTAAAAAAAACACCTCTAGTAGTACGCCACTGCATGTTGCCAATGTAAATTTCCGTCATTTTGTATTATTTGCGGTTTAAACTTCCTGTTAAATGTTTACCGTTACACGATTACCGTCTAGATTTGACATATCATTTCCTGCTTCATACCACTCATGATCAATTAAATATCCTTTAGTAATAATTACTCATGGATTAGTCTTTACTTTTTTTTTATACAACTTAGAATGGCAAACAAGCTGACGGCCCACCTGGTGGAAAGTGGTAACCGTCGCCTATACACAAACAATTACATTTTGCTCCGCAGCGGTTGGAATAGTAATAAAACCAGAGGGAGACTTTGTACAAAAGTCGTTTGCTTGGCCACCTCTGTCCCATTCGCGTCTCAACCGTGAAGCAGTTGTGTTTGCATGGCTGTGTTTCAGTTTGAAGGGTGGGATATGGCGTGAATTTACTGGGTACCGAGGAAAAACACCTGAGTCCTCAGGAATGGCAACGCATGGGGGGTATCATGAGCGAAACAGTATACTCTGTTATGTCCATGGTACTGCTCATGTCTATAGGCGACGGTTACCACTTTCCATCAGGTGAGCCGTCAGCTTGTTTGCCATTCTTAGTTGTATAAAAAAAAAAACTCTTTTGACATCGACTCGAACTCTTTTTCGAATTTGTCTCAATTTTTTTTTTTTTAATTTGACTCGACTGACGTATAGAGCGGGTCTGTGTTCATCAGTGGACAGTTAACAGCTGATAAGATTGAGAATGTAAATACACATACATACATACATACCTATTGCTTTATTCTTTTCAGATGCAAGAAAACAGCTGAAACCACCAGCCATCATTGTGTTTGACTTGAAGACAAACAAACAGATTTTTCGGTACAACTTAAAAGATACGGATTTGGTGAACGAGAGAACTGCCGGAGGTAAATATAGTATTATAGAGGACAAGCTAGTCGGGTAAACGTTTGGTAAAATAAGTACCGCGCATGCGCGGAAAGACGCGGATCACTCCACACGCAGCAGCCAATGGATAGGCTTAAATACTAGCGTCAGTGTGACGAGCCGGCATCTGAATCACGATTTTTTTTTTGATGGATGAAAATGGTATGGTAACCTGACGGTGGTACGCTGGCGGAGCACCAGTGAAGGGTGATAGATGAGAATGAAAACAGGCCAGTTAGCCCATCATGATGAATTCATCAGGAATTAACCATGATAGTTTGCAGGGAGAATCGCGAGGAGGTCGACCTGGTTGGGTATATTGCTAGCAATGGGATTCTCAGTCTCCATTACTAACAATCCCTTTCCCACCTCTGAATCACGATTAGGTCTATGCTAAAGTATTTTTATTACACACGTTATGACAAACAAATTGACGGTCCACCTGATGGAAAGTGGTATGCGTCATATCTAATTACTTTTTTTTTTTTTTATTATACAGTACTATCATACCTACTTGTACAACAATTAGTCCATCACCCTAAGGTTGTCTTGAAGAGATTGCTCTCAGCAATAAGACCGGCTCACTGTACTCATACAACTGTATCGTTACAATAATTGTCTTGCTTATTCCCTATATTGTATAATGCAAATAAAGTATACCTATTCATTTATTAATTCATTTGATATCTAATAAATGATGAGTGAAGCTCTTAGTTTCTTCAAAGCTCGGAAAATCTCCATACGGAAAAGTAAAATCCGAAATTTCGAAATCTCATTTCATAGTAATGCCCCAGTTTCGATTGGTACCTAATTGCAACATTATCTCTTTTCAGGACTGACATCGATCACAGTAGACGTCGACCCTAAATCCTGCGCAGACGCATACGCCTACATTAACGATTTGGCCACCAACGGTCTCATCGTCTTCTCAATGAGAGAAAGAGACAGCTGGAGGATTAACCACAGCAGTTTTAATCACGACGCCAAAGCTTTGAATTTCAGTGTTGCAGGTAATATAATTCTTCTATATTAATAATATAAACCGCTGTGTGGTTCCGGCATAGAATGAGCTATCCAAGAGGCGACTAAGGGATGAGTACCGAGAGATGGGTTGCCAAACCGCCTGCCAAGCGTAGCAACTACTAACTACTGCTACTACTAGGGGGAGGAAAGGGATTGCTAGTAATGCGAACTACCAGTCCCATTACTAGCAATATACTCTATTAGGTCGACCTCCACGTGGTCCCCCTTGAAAACCATGGTGCTGAATTCCAGGTGAAACATGCCGACAGGCTAACTGACCTGCCTTTTCATTCTCACCTATCATCTCAACACTGGTGGCCCGCCAGTGTATACCGTTAGCGCAGGCGGGGTTACCATACCATTATCATCCATTAAAAAAAAACTACTATTTAATATTTAATTATATAATAAAAATAACATCATTATCATCATGTTAACCATTATCTGTCCACTGTTGAACATAAGCCTTCCCCATAGACTTACAAAAAGAATGGCGTCGTCCCCTTTGGCAGTTTACGATTGAGGAACTTTGCCAGTAGTTGCCACGCTTGACAGGGGAGTTGGCAGCCACAGATTGACTTTTAGTACAGTTTTGGATGACACTGTCTATCGTTCGACCATTAAATTCTCTCAGTCGCCTCTTACGACACCCATGGGAAAGAAAGGGCTGGCCTTTTTTAAGACCATACGGCGAAAACAAAATTAAGATCTTCTTTTTAATTCTAGGCAACGTTATTAACTGGAAAGACGGTATATTCAGTATAGCATTGTCTGATCTGAACTCGAACGGTACAAGAACGGCTTTCTACCACCCGCTGGTGTCCACGCAAGAGTTTTCAGTGGACACTGCATTCTTGAAAGACAAAAGTAAGAGCATCGAGGGTAACGTGAAGGTGAGTTAAATAATACATCGTCGTCATACCAGCCTTTAACTGTCCACTGCTGAACATAAACCTCCTCTTTGAGGGGTTTTGCCAGTAGTTGCCACGCTTGGCAACCACAGTTAGGCGGGGGAAAGGGATTGTTAGCAATGGAGTTTGACAGCCCCATTGCTAGCAATATGTCTTATTAGGTCGACCTTCGCGTCGTTCCCACTGGAAACCATCGTGAACAATTCTTGTTGAATTCGTCACGATGGGCTAACTGACCTGCTTCATCCTCACCTATCATCCGTCACTGGTGCTCCGCCGGTGTATACCGATAGCGCGGGTGGGGTTACCATTCCATTATCATCCATTAAAAAAAACACAGGCTTTGGAGATCTTTTAAAAGGGACGCTGCTGCTCATCCCACGCCCTTCCTTAATCGTCTCTTACGACACCCACCGGAGAGGAAGGGAGAGTGACCTATCTATGCCAGGACCATAGGGCAATAACATAGAGTAATAAATATTTGTAATTAATTTCAAAATAAAGATGAATGGATGATAAAAACATATTACGCCGACCCCAAATAGGTCGGATAAAGGGCAGGAATACCAATTTCATAAAGATTTATATAGATTTTTGTGGAATCTATATATCCACGCATTTTTTTTTTTATATTTTGAGGGCTTTTAACTTCTTCAAGTATATCAGCCCTATCGTACCCTGATCTGATTTCTCAAACAAAACTTTATCTACTTTCCCTAGACGCGGACAGAGAAGAATTAATGGGCATCAATAATTTACAGAGATGTTCAAAAATTTCTGGTTTAAGTTCAGCTAACATAGATTGAATAAGACCAACATTAAATTTAAGTTACAGTGGCGCATGAATTTTTCTCTTTCCTTCGTGTTAATACGACACTCTAATAGAATATGATGCACATCATCGATGGTATTACATAAGTTTGACATAATGAGTTCTGATCTAGACTGTAATGCTGTCCATAACCTTCCAGATCCTCGGCAACAGAGGTCCGCTAACCCAAAGCGGCTCCCACGTTTACCACAACGGGACTAGAACACTCCTGTACGCGAATGTCGCTCAGGACGCTATCTTGTGTTGGAATGTTGACAAGGAATTGAAACCAGAGAATGTTGGCATAGCAGCTCAGGATCATAAGCAACTTGTATACATATCTGGTTAGTATATATTTTGTTATAACACAGGCGGCAAACGATCATGCGGCTCACCTGATGGTAAGTGACTACAATACAACATAGAATGGCAAACAAGCTGACGGCCCACCTGATGGAAAGTGGTAACCGACGCCTATAGACATGAGCAGTACCATGGACGTAACAGAGTATACTGTTTTGCCCATGATACCGCCCATGCGTTGCCATTCCTGAGGATTCAGGTGTTATTTCTCCGTACCCAGTAAATCCACGCCATATCCCACCCTTCAAACCGAAACACAGCCATGCAAATAAAACTGCTTTACAGTTGAAACACGAATAGGACAGAGGTACTCAAGCAATCGACTTGTCTATGACGTCTAATTTTTTCCCCAGATCTCAAAGTCTCTGGTGACGACGTATGGGTTTTGGTCAATCAAATACCCAGATTTGTGTATTCAAGTTTGAATCCTGGTGAAAACAATTATTTTATACATAGGTAAGTACTTGAATTAATACAAAAAAAGAGAAGTGTGGACTGAAAAACGATGTAGTGACAAAAATCGAAAAAGAAATATTGAGTTGGTTTGGCCATTTGGAGAGGATGGATAAAATAAAAAATACGAAAGAGATTTATCGAGCAAGAATGAATGGAGATGTCGATAGGGGCCGCCCTAGACGGGCGTATGTCGACCAAATAGGCGACATGCTGAAGGAGCGCCAAATTAAAAGTACCCGTAACCGGCGAGCGTGTATGAAAAGATTGTTGAATGTGGAGGAAGTGAAAGAGGTTTGTTTAAATCGAAGCATTTGGCGTTCAATTGTTTCTGCCTACCCTAATGGGAGGCAGGCGTGACAGATATGTATGTATGTATGTAATATAACAATTATCGATCGGAAAAGCGTTAGCAATATGTCATAAATATTTTATTGCGCATTCGTATAATTAGGCGCTTTCTCCTGGACAGCTATTGGACGCCAGCTGGGCTATTCACTATTCATTCATTCATTCATTTATTTATTGTTATTACATGTTGTAACAAAATTGGTCTTAATTTACTAAAAGTATAGAATCAAACATGAACCCTGAAAGGGCACAGCAATCACTATTCTACTATCTCTCCCTTTAGTACTATTTTCCTGTGTTCTTTCTTCATCTTTCTTCTTCATTCTCTCCTGTTGTATGTGTGCCATCAAGAATGTGCATGTTTGTATACGTATGTTTTTTTTCCAATGAATGATAATAGTATGGTAACCCCGCCTGCGCTAACGGTATACGCTGGAGAGGCGCCAGTGAAGGGTGATAAGTGAGGATGAAAGGGCAGGTCAGTTAGTCCATCGTGACGATTGCGACAAGTATTAATCACAATGGTTTCCAAGGGGAACCGCGTGGAGGTCGACCTGACAGGGCTTGTTAGCAATGGGGAGCATTAATCCCCATTACTTTCCCCCCTAGACAGTAGTATATAATAGTGCGCCACCTACCCTTTACGGGGTTACCATTCCATTATCACCGATAAAAAAAATATGACTAAAAGTTCTATTTTATTTCAGAGCCAAGATTGAAGATTTAATAAAAGGCACAGTATGCGAGAAAAAATAATAAATCTACTTCTCAAGTCAAGACGAGGGACGAGTTTAGACTTACCATATTTGATTAAAAAAAAAACTTCTGTGAATATTATTGTATGGAGATTTTTTTGTATGTTCAAATACAAATTCGAAATAGAATTTATTCAAATGCACTTTTTTCTATGCAACTTTGAATGTCATTGTATATTTTTTTTAATTTATGGTGTAATAAAAAGTTAAATAAATAAATAAATGGCAAACAAGCTAACGGTCTACCTGATGGAAAGTGATAACCGTCGCCTATAGACTAACTGCTTCACGGTAGAAACACGAATGGGACAGAGGTGACTTTTGTACAAAGTCTCCCTCTGGTAAATGTATGTATTATTATTATTTGAGTTAAAGGTTTTTATTACCTATGATATATATATATATATATATATATATATATATATATATATATATATATATATAATGATAATTTATAAGTACATGTCTAAGTATATCAATGCTACTATTCATGTCTATAGGTTTAGAACTTTCCATCGGGCAGGCCGTCAGCGTTTTTGTATATTCTACATTGCACACAAAATAATTTTATATATAATAATTTATATTAATGTATATTAATTAATAAATTAAAAAAAATATATATATATATATATATATATATATATATATATATATATATATATATATATATATATATATATATATATATATATATATATATAATTTATTATTAAATTAAATATTATAATAAATTAAAATAAATATTTACATAAATTACAAATCATTATATATAGATACAATAGAAATTTCCAATGATACAGTACAAATAATTAACTTCTTGTTCAAAAAACCTATCGAGAACATTAAAAATTTCCACTAAAGGCACTTCTGTAGGCCTTTTTGGAATTAAAGGCAATGGAATTAATACAAAAATCTTTTTTCCACATCGAGAAAGGAAGTGTGAACAGTGACCGACCCCTGTTGAGGTTATCTTCACCGACGCCAGCCGCGTCGAGCGCGCACAATAACTGTGCCTTACAATCACACCACTTATCATTCTCTGGAGTGGATTGTCCAGGACATACATCATTTGAAATATTTGCAGCCATTTTCAGAATAGACTATTAAATCCCATTAAATGAATAAAAACATTTATATGAACAATTACGAAGGAGATTTATCGAGCAAGAATGAATGGAGATGTCGGTAGGGGCCGCCCTAGACGGACGTATGTCGACCAAATAGGCGACGTGCTGAAAAAGGGCCAAATTAAAAGTACCCGTAACCGGCGAGCGCGTATGAAAAGATTGATGAATGTGGAGGAAGCGAAAGAGGTTTGTTTGAACCGAAGCATTTGGCGTTCCATTGTTTCTGCCTACCTTAATGGGAGACAGGCGTGACAGATATGTATGTATGTATGTAAACATTAATATTTTACATTCATTTAATGACAACAATTTTAAATGACTTAAATTAAATTAAATTAAAAATAAAACAAATAATAATGGCGAGGTACATCAATGTTATACAACGTCCTACTTGTTAACATTAAATAAAATACAATTTCATACTTATGACTTTTGACCGGGTTGTCTGTAAGAGATCGCTTCTATCACTAGAAGCGATCTCTTTACTAACAATCCCTTCCCCCACTGTTTAGTATTTACTGTGTCTAACTTGCGCCATCTACCTTTCTCTCTGCATTTGTCCACTATTTACCCCAAGTTGTCTGTAAGAGATCGCTTCTAGCGATAAGGCCGCCTTTTGTATATGCACATTCTGTATAAATACTTCTTGTATACATCTGTATTGGGCGCAATAAAGAGTTTTTATGCAACTTAGAATGGTAAACCAGCTGACAGCCCACCTGATGGAAACTGGTAACCGTCGCCTATAGACGTGAGCAGTACCGTGGACATAACAGAGTATACTGTTTCACCCACGATACCCCCCATGCGTTGCCATTCCTGAGGACTCGGGTGTTATTCCTCTGTACCCAGTAAATTCACGCCATATCCCACCCTTCAAACCGAAACACAGCCATGCAAACACAACTGTTTCACGATAGAAACACGAATAGGGACAGAGGTGCCCACGCAAACGACTTTTGTACAAAATCTCCCTCTGGTATATATGTATGTATGTCTGGTAGGTATGATGTAACAAACATAAAAAAAACAATACTATACAATCGATATAAGAACCTTTCTCTTTTTTGAAATGGGTCGAACATGGGATCGCATGGCACATCTACCTTAAACGGGCCCCTCAACCTTGTTTACCAAAGTTTCTTTCCATCCAAGATAATTATCAACTCGTATATGATAATATTAGACTTGTAATAACAATAAATTTATCATAAACAACTCTGTATACTAAACGTGACCTTTTTGTCTATGACCAAAGAGGTCAAGTTGAGTTAATTAGATCTAATAAAATACCTACTTGCTTAGAATGATACGGCTCAATAGTGAATTACACAGACTCGATAAACGATAAATAAAAGGGGGGGAGGGATTGTTAGTAATGCGCACTACCAGCCCCATTGCTAGCAATATACCCTGTCAGGTCGACCTCCACGTGGTGCCCCCTGGAAACTGTCGTGGTAAATGTACACATAAATAATATTATCACACGGGCAGCACAAATGCCTGGTTTCCTTAAATGTTCTTTAAAAGGCTTTAAATTGAGGCAAACTAGATTAATTCTTTATAACAGTTTAGTACGTAGTCGTTTGGAGTTTGCCTCTGTTTCCTGGAATCCAGTCTAAAGCTCTTCATCTCAAAGAATATAAAATATCCAACGAGCATTCACTAGACACCTAGCTTACATAACCCGTAACATATCGCATAGGCGACCTTATAGTCAGAGAATATCCTTCTTTAACATTACCTCTCTTAAGACGCGTCGTATGATTGCAGATTTAATGTTTATTCATAAAATTCTCAATAATAAAATTCATTGTGCAGATTTACTGAGTTCAAACCAATTAACGGTACCTCTAAATTATCCTCGACACCCTATAACTAGAGCATTTAGCTTACCGCGCTGCAGAACAAACCTAGGACTGCATCAACCTCTGGCCAGGATTAGTGCGTCATACAATGAAATTAATTCCAAATTACCTGAAATTGATATAGTGCATGATAATTCAGGAATAAATTGCTGAAACACTTTGTACAACAATCTTATGAAAATTAACTCTAATTGTCATAATATATATTTTTTTAATATTTTTTAATTCAATTCACTCATAATCGTGTTTTCTGATATTGCTCACAACTTAGATTACATGTTTATTTTTATTATTTACTTAATTTCCTCGCACTGTACAACTACATATGTTAAAGTGAATGCTGTGAATACCTATAATAGACGTGTGCATTAATATTGTATTGTATTTAATGTTTGTTACACCTATATGTAATAATGCAATATGCTGTTGGTGTTCCTTAAATAAATAAATAAATAAATAATATAGTAGAGAAACACTGATAATTTTAGAGGTTTCTAAATAACGGTTTTTTTATCAACGTTCTATATACTTACGCACACAATGTATCTTGACGTATCTAAATTTAATTGTTTATAAAATAAAACGAGTATTTACGCATTAAAAAGATGCAGAAATTCAGAAATTATAAGACAAAATAAATATTGAAGTTATAAAGGAATCACTCGTAACTATTTATCACGCAAAATTGTATGAAAAAGTTTATTTATTTATTTATTTATTATTTAAGGCAAACAAACAGCTAAAATAATACATAATTATATACATAAACAGTAATTTGGTAGCCGCTAGAATTTGCACAAAATAAAATACAAGTAAACGAAACGCAAAATTAGACAATACTAAAATTAAACAAATATAAACACAAATAAACAAAATTAAACAAATATAAACACAATTTAACAAATATAAACAAAATTAAACAAATATAAACACAATTTAACAAATATAAACAAAATTAATTAAATATAAACACAATTAAACAAATATAAACAAAATTAAACAAACAAATACTATTGAAAACCACAGCAACATTGTCAATAATAATGCTCAGAAGTTAATAAAACCTTTTTTTTTAGAAAAACAAGTTTCAGAAAAACAAACAATAAGAAAAAAGTTGAGACGTTTTTCTCGAATCATTTGTATGGAGACACTCTATTTATATAATTCTAAGGTACTTAAAGTTATTCGTACCTTGGACCTTGTTCCTTGAACAGTAAGGGAACTCTCCAAGCGTTGGTAGTAAGAGTTAGCAGAATTGTCAGTAGATTTCACTTATACAGTTTATAAGGTTTTATAATTTTCTATTTTTATAATAAAACGACACTCAACAATTGCTAGGCAACACACGCGATAGGTGTCACAGTGCATTTAAATTTTGGACAAACCAAAAAGTATTAACAAAGGTTAGTACTTGATTTTTGACTAAATATTCTATGATAAACAAAATACTGATAACAAATCATATAAATCCTAATGGAGAGTGATTTTCAGTAACGGGGCCGTTAATCCCCATCGCTGGTAATTTTAGATCAACCTCCACACATTCCGTCCTTGAAACTATCTTTTTATTTCATTATGAATTCGTCACGATGGGCCAACTATCCTATTTCATATTTACCTATCATCTGTATAAAAGTACTCAATGACAACCCTGTAGGGCACGGTCTAAAGACCTGATAAGGTTATCAGTAGTCACTACACACACATACACACACACACACGCGCGCACGCGTACGCGCACGCGCACGCGCACGCACGCACACACACACACACACACACACACACACACACACGCACGCGTACGCGCATGCGCACGCGCACGCGCACGCACACGCACACGCACACGCACACGCACACGCACACGCACACGCACGCGCACACGCACACGCACGCGCACATATGAAATAAACATAATAGAATTATTAGAATCATCATCATTATATCAGCCTTTAACTGTCCACTGCTGAGCATAAGCCTCTCCGTAGGAAGGTTTTGGCAGTCGCCACACTTGGCAGGCAGATTGGGAGCAACCTCAATTAGGCTTGGAGATGTTTTAAGAGGAACGCTGCTGCCCATCCCTAGCCCTCTCTTAGTCGCCCCTTACGACATCCACGGGAAAGGAAGGGGTGGCCTATTCTTTGCCGGGACCGAATATATATATATATATATATATATATATATATATATATATATATATATATATATAATCAGGGCATTGTAAAGGAGTTTGAGCACTGGCTGACCTTATACTGTGCCTATACCAACATTTTCCTGTTCAGTAATTCTTCGTAAAATGTAAAAACTCGTTGTGTAACCGCAAATATCATATGCCACGTCTTATAAACATATCTTTTTAATACTTTTTACTTGTTAAAGTGTTGGAAAAACACTCTAATTACTTCCTATTACGACCAGCAGATAGGGTTGCCATCCGTCCAGATATCCCCGGATTTGTCCTAGTTTAGAACGCATCCGGGGAGCGTAATTTACAGTCTTGGGTCGCTCGCGACACACGCATTGTTAAAAACATTCTAACTTATTATTAAAACAATTTGTAACAAACTGTACTGTAGATACTGTTTTTTAGGTTTTTTTTTCATACAACTTAGAATGGCAAACAAGCTGACGGCCCACCTGATGGAAAGCGGTAACCGTCGCCTATAGACACGAGCAGTACCAAGAACATAACAGAGTGTACTGTTTCGCCCATGAAACCCCCCATGCGTTGCCATTCCTGAGGACTCAGATGTTATTCCTCTGTACCCAGTAAATTCACGCCATATCCCACCCTTCAAACCGAAACACAGATATGTAAATTTACATAATTTATACCCTTAGACAATACAGGCAAGCGGATGGGAAAAGATTGCTAATAATGTTGGTTAGTAATCCCATTGCTAGCAATACATCCAACCAGGTCGACCTCCTCGCGGTTCCCCCTAACAACTATCATGGTTAATTCCTGATGAATTCATCATGATGGACTAACTGGCCTGTTTTCATTCTCATCTATCACCCTTCACTGGTGCTCCGCCAGCGTATCCCATTAGCGCAGGCGGGGTTACCATACCATTTTCACCCATCAAAAAAAAAACATCCTAACCTCCTCGCTCCTTGCACCAAAAAGTATTAACAATATATATATATTTTTAATACTTTTTGGTTTGTCCAAAATTTAAATGCGCTGTGACACCTATCGCGTGTGTTGCCTAGCAATTGTTGAGTGTCGTTTTATTATAAAAATAGAAAATTAGTAGATGGTTTAAATATTATTTTATTTAAACATCAAGTGATATTGTGCGTTCGTTTATATACATATTGTGTTATTTGTTTGGACCTTATAAACTGTATAAGTGAAATCTACTGACAATTCTGCTAATTCTTACTACCAACGCTTGGAGAGTTCCCTTACTGTTCAAGGAACAAGGTCCAAGGTAGGAATAACTTTAAGTTATATATATATATATATATATATATATATATATATATATATATATATATATATATATATATATATATATATATATAAACCATTCATCATTCAGTCAACAACTATGTCGTAAGGCCAAACAAATAATGTCGAGAGACCTCATTAGTTCATTACTTCACCGTACTGGGCAAGGACGTGTATTACTAGCTTCTTTTTTTTTATTAATATTTTTAATTTTCCCATAAGTCGTACTTTATACTATGTCTATGGTTTCATTTGACATTTCATTTTGACTTTTATTTTATTGAGCGTTTAATTAAAAGTGTTGAAATGAAATGAAATTGAAATAGAAATGAAATGAAATGAAAGTGTTATTAAATAATAAAATGAAATATTGTTTTATAGTTAGTGAAATATATATTTTTTTAAATTTATTATAAAATCTAAAGTGAAATAGATTTATTTAAAAGTTATTTTTTAATAATAAATTACCCACACGCAATAGTGATCATATTTTAAAACATCTACCTACTAAATGTTTTAAATACCAAAACTACTCCAAGATAAAAACTTAAAGGCGCTAAAAAAAGAGCATAGTAATTAAAAAAAAATGAAGCAAAGGAAATATTTATGTGCCCAAATATACTTAATGCTAGTAACATTATCGCTGGCACAAAATACTGGCAGAAAACTGGGCAAATTTGAAGAAGTGTTTGCTTGGAGACAACTCACCTATGACATAGATGGAAGAGTATGTAAGTCATACATGTTTTTTTTTTATTTAACCATTAGATACTTTTCCTTTACTCATTAGTAGTAGTTTTTTTTAATATATTATAGCTCATATTATTCGCTGATAATATGAGGGAGGGTCAACTGTAGGATGACCTTCCCCCCCCCCTCATACCCCCTGCCTAGATGGAGTGACAATCTCAAATGTATTTTTTTTGATGGGTGAAAATGGTATGGTAACCTCGCCTGCGCTAACGGGATACGCTGGCGGAGCACCAGTGAAGGGTGATAGATGAGAATGAAAACAGGCCAGTTAGTCCATCATGATGAATTCATTAGGAATCAACCATGATAGTTTCCAGGGAGAACCGCGTGGAGCTCGACCTGGTTGGGTATATTACTAGCAATGGAATTCTCAGTCTCCATTATTAACAATCCCTTTCCCCCCTCTCAAATGTATTACAGGGAGTCAGTGGATGCAGGTGTCTCAGGAATGTTCCTTATGGCAGTCTATGATGATGATGATGATGATGAAACCAAAAATTAAATCTTTCCTGTCTGTAATATTATTTTATATTTATTTTATAACTTATTTATATATGTATATATGTGTGTGTAAAGTTGACTACCACCCCACCATGGACACCATCGTGGTCCTCATACATAGATTGCCATAAAGAACGGGTTCATTCCATATGACAGTTTGCCATTGGGAAGACTTTTCCAGTAGTTACCACGTTTGGCAGGCATATCGGCAACCGCAATTTGACTTTGCTAATATTTTAAAAGGAACGCCGCTTCCCATCCCTCTACCATTACGTTCCCTTAGTCGCCTCTTACGACATCTACGAGAAAGGAACGGGGTGGCTCATAGACCTACCCCATAAACTGCCATAAGAAACGGTCCAAAGCCACCTGCAACGGGGGGAATGGGATTGTTAGTAATGGAGACTGAGAATCCCATTGCTAGCAATATACCCAACCAGGTCGACCTCCTCGCGGTTCTCCCTGGAAACTATCACGGTTAATTCCTGATGAATTCATCATGATGGGCTAACTGGCCTGTTTTCATTGTCATCCATCACCCTTCACTGGTCTTCCGCCGGCATATCCCGTTAGCGCAGGCTGGGTTACCATACCATTTTCACCCATCAAAAAAAAAAACAAAGCCACCTGCATCCACTGACTCACAGCAAATGTATTTGAGGTCATCACTCTTACCTATAATAAATAAATATAAATAAATAAAATGACAGTCTGCCCGATAAAATAAGCCATTAAAAAAAATTTGGCTGTATACGTATCTTGCCTGAGCTATATCATAAACTAATTATATAACCTTATGAAGGCAGGATCAGGGAAATAGCAACGGTTATTAAATTTACATAACCATTAATACATAGGTATTTTATAATTTTCCATCTTTGAATCGTGTCGTTAGAGAATAAATAAAATAATTGACGGACATTATGTAATATAAAAACAATTAACGTGCTCGTTGCATATTCGTCTTTAAATCTATAAGTTGAAAGTTGATATTTCAACAAATGTGTAATTTACCGCCAAAAATTTTCCTCTTTTTTTTTAAACATAGACAAAAACAGTTAAACGTTCCGGTGAATTATTAAATCTATTATTTTTTTTTAATGTCTGATAATTGAATGGTAACCCCGCCTGCGCTAACGGTAACTGCGGGCTACCAGCGAGGGATGATAGGTGAGAATAAAAAAGCAGTTCGGTGAACCTATCTTAACCAGAGGGAGACTTTGTACAAAAGTCATTTGCTTGAGTACCTCTGTCCCATTCGTGTTTCAACCGTGAAGCAGTTGTGTTTGCATGGCTGTGTATCGGTTTGAAGGGTGGGATATGGCAGTGAATTTACACGGTACAGTGGCATAACACCTGAGTCATGAAAAATAGCAACGCATGGAAGGTATCATGAGCGGAACAGTATAATCTATTATGTCTATAATACTGCTCATGTCTATAGGCGACGATTACCACTTTCCATCAGGTGGGCCGTCGGCTTGTTTGCCATTCTAAATTGCATTAAAAAAACATGGTATTACGTGTACTCATGTCCATTTTTCAATTAGTGGAGTATCGACTTGTTTATCTTGTCAATTAAGACAAAAACTTAACACATAATACCGGATCTCGTTGGCTGTTCATCATAGTATTTACTATACCAATTTCAAATAATCTTTTTACAAAAGTTTAATATATATTTATATTTTTAGTTCAAGGTCATTTATCTATTTTTAAACTGTAACTAACAATTGATTTGTTTAAATAATAGTATTAATAAAATTGTAATTTAATATATATATATATATATATATATATATATATATATATATATATATATATATATATATATGTTATTTTAAATAAGTTATTATCATAAATAAAGTATACTGTAATTGCCTATAACAACGGTTTGAAGGGTGGGATATGGCGTGAATTTACTGGGTACAGAGGAATAACACCTGAGTCCTGAAAAATGGTAACGCATGGGTGATATCATGGGCGAAACAGTATACTCTGTTATGTCCATGTGTCAGTATGCTCATGTGTATATGTATATTCCCCCCACATATTAGTGTTAGGTATTCATTATCATCGTCAACGTCGTCATATCATATCATGTATCGCACATAATGGCGCAGCTTGCAGAACAAACGTAGGCCGCGAATAGTGTTGCCAGGTCCAATTTGTTTTAAATCGGTACATGAGGTCAAAAAAATAATTTTAAATAGGGATTTAGGGTTGCAGATTGGGACAGTAAACAAAAAACCAGAGGGAGACTTTGTATAAAAGACGATTGCTTGGGTACCTCTGTCCCATTCGTGTTTCTACCGTGAAGCAGTTGTGTTTGCATGGCTGTGTTTCAGTTTGAAGGGTGGGATATGGCGTGAATTTACTGGGTACAGAGGAATAACACATGAGTCCTCAGGAATGGCAACGCATGGGGGGTATCATGGGCGAAACAGTATACTCTGTTATGTCTATGGTACTGCTCATGTCTATAGGCGACGGTTACCACTTTCCATCAGGTGGCCCGTCAACTTGATTGCCATTCTAAGTCGTATAAATAAAAAAGATGGCAAACTAACCCCCGGCAGAAGCACATTCGGCCGGGGTTCAGGGCCCCAGGGAGAGAAACCGGTGTACAATGCGGGCAGTATCTAAGAGCACCGCTTTCTGCATCTTTCCCGGATTTTTTTTTTTTTTTTTTTTTTTTGTTTAATTCACACACAATTATTATTATTTTAATAATAAACGTATCTCGCAGATGATCGAGATGTTTTCGACGAACCGTACAATATTGGTAATACGCGTGACAGAGAGAAGAGACAAACGGATAGCGTGTTTTTTAACAACAATGATGATGAACCCGATAGAAACTGGAATCATCGTAAGTACCATGCTCCAGATGGACCTTCACTTTCTATCAGATGAGATCGTGATTAAAGTATTTTTCATTACACTAAACAAATTAAACAAAAAAAAAAAACAATATTTATTTATTACTAGCTGTTCCCCGCGATTTATCCGCGTTTCCGTCGTTTTTCGTAAAACAAGTAGCCTATGTCATTCCTCGCGGTTCAGTGGTTTTGATGTAACAGACACATTTCCCTTCACCGCTCTGCTCCTATTGATCGTAGCGTGATGAAAAGTATACTATAACCTGTCCAGGAGTATGAAGAATAATTGTACAAAGTTTCGTTAAAATCCGTCGAGTAGTTTTTTTTTTTACAGCACAGGCGGCATATAAGGATGCGGCTCACCTGATGGTAAGTGACTACCGCCGCCCATGAGTTTTTGTTTCTATAACGAACATACAGACAGACAGATAAAAATTTTACTGATTGCATTTTTGGCATCTACTGATCGATCACTAATCACCGCCTGATAGTTATTTTGCAAATATATTTCATGTACAGAATTGACCTCTCTACAGATTCATTATAAGTATAGATATATGGATATAGATTATAAAAGTAGATAAGTCATTTAAGTGATGGATTTTTTTATCTTTTATTTTATCTTCTATTTCTAATCTTCCTCTCTCTCTCATCTTCCTTCTAGAATCTTCTGTCTTCAATCAACCTCAAACTAACAGACCTCCGCAGCAGCAGAGACCGAGTTGGAATAACAATAATAGTTAGTTCCAATTTCTTCTATACTTTTCTAACATTCTGTGTACTTCTTTATACTTCTTTTTTAATTAGTTTTTTTTTTTATAATACACACTAAGAATACATAAAAATATAACAAGGGTAAGTAAATCTACAAAGGCGAGCTTAACTCTAAAAGAGTTCTCTTCCAGCAGCACCCGAAGTTTTCTTCCTTGGCATACTTAGAATTGGGGTTGCCTTTGTATCGAAATAATAGTTTATTTATTATACTTGAATACACCTAGATGGTGTAAATGATGGAGTTAACACCATATTATGTAATAATTATATACATATTACACTACGTTAAAATATATATGGTATTAATACGTTAAAATCTAGACGTTCAATCCAAGACTTGAACACGCTATGTATAATTATAAACGCAAAGTGGGATGCTATCGATCTGTTGAACCATGTTCCGTTTAAAACAGGAGGTAATAAGAGAATATTAAAATTATTTCATGTACCTTATTGTAATAAGAATGTAACATTTAATGATCCTCTCTTCCGCATGTGCAGACTGTACAATAGTTGTAATGAATTGGACATTTTTGCTTATAGTTTAAATTGTTTTCTTAAAATGGCAAAAGAAGTGTCTGAGTTTAATATATAATTGTTCTCATTTTCTATTGTTATTGTATATAACATTGGAACTAGTATAAGCTAACGCTGTGCGTAACAATTACCAGTGTACAATTTTAAAACAATTAGTTATAAAGTTCATTATAGTCAATTTAATGTGAATTGTATTACTGTTGCTGTGCCTAAATGAATAAATAAATAAATATGTCTTTAACAAGCACTTTTAACGAGAGATATGCTCTTGAAAAAGGACTGTATATTTTACGAAATAATAAGACGTTCGCTGCTAGCAATAGAGAAAAATATAATAACAAAATGATGACATTGTCAGATATCGAAAAAAAAAAACCAAAATAAAAAATATTAAATTTAAAAATATACTCTAAAAAGGTGCATTCTGCACAAGCATATTTGTATTAGTTGACGATATCCTTCTATCATGTTTGTTTTACGTCAAATTGGCTCTCTATATTTCTAAAACACTGTGTCTTGGTAATCCCTTATGGACTCCCGCGATACAGGTTTTTTTTTAATGGGTGAAAATGCTATGGTCATCCCGCCCGCGCTAACGGGATACGCTGGCGGAGCACCAGTGAAGGGTGATAGATGAGAATGAAAACAGGCCAGTTAGCCCATCATGATGAATTCATCAGGAATTAACCATGATAGTTTCCAGAGGGAACCGCGAGGAGGTCGACCTGGTTGGGTATATTGCTAGCAATGGGATTCTCAGTCCCCTTTACTAACAATCCCTCCCCCCCCCCTCCGCGATACAAGTTCGCCTAATGCAATAAGATATTGTATATTTCTTGTGATTAATAAATAAATAAATAATGTATATAATAAAGCGTTCACGCTCACTTTTTATCTTTATCCGAGCAGTAAGTACTTTATATTATTCTCAATTTCGTGTATAATATAGTATATGTCATATATGTGTAAGTATATTTGTTATTCATATATATTTATTCGTTTATATTATGTTATTGTAATGTAAAAACTCTTACTAGCTTCAAAACCTCTGTTAAATCTTACTACCTCTCACTTTAGTACTATTTTCCTGTGTTCTCTCTTCGTTTTCCTTCGTCATTTTTTTTTCTGTTGTATGTGTGCTGTTAAGTATGTGTATGTTATGTATATATTTAATTGTGTATATATTATATATGTATGTGTATGTATGTATGTATGTATGTTTGTATATGATAATATTTATATAATAGTGCGCCACCCCCCTTTGTTTTCTCAATTTTTTTTCTCAATGTCCTCTACCCAAAGGTCGCCTGGAAGAGATTGCTTAGCGATAAGGCCGCCTTTTGTATCACCTCTCACATTCCGTATGGTGAGTGAGGGAGTCCGGAGGCCCATCCCATACCCATCCCATACCCATCCCTTTCCTATTCCTAAAATCCTTTCCCCAACCCCGTCCCCCTATCTTAAAAGGCCGGCAGCACACCTGCAATGCCGCTGGTGTTGTGGGTGATCATGGGCGGCGGTAGTCACTTACCATCAGGTGAGCCGCATGCTCGTTTGCCACCTGTGTTGTAAAAAAAAAAAAAAAAGAAAAAAAAAAAAAATTAATAAATAATTTTTGTATGTATGTTTATCAATAATTACTAGTACCGCATTCGAGTATTCTGACACTTCCCAACAGAAGAAGGAGTTTTTAGTTCGCTTAGAAATTATTTAATTCATTTACATACAACTTGACCGTTGCAGGACCCCTCATGAGGCCACCAAACCAAGCAATCATCGCATCAACTAACAGACCGCAGTCAGTCGGTAAGAACACAATGATTTTGACTCAACTTAGAATGGCAAACAAGCTGACGGCCCGCCTGATGGAAAGTGGTAACCGTCGCCTATACACATGAGCAGTACCGTGGACATAACAGAGTATATTAGGGGGGAAAGGGATTGTAAGCAATGGAGTCTAACAGCCCCATTGCCAGCAATATGCCTTACTAGGTCGACCTCCACGCGGTTCCCCCTGGAAACCATCGTGAACAATTCTTGTTGAATTCGTCACGATGGGCTAACTGACCTGCTTCATCCTCACCTATCATCCTTCACTGGTGCCCCGCCGGTGTATACCGATAGCGCGGGTGGGGTTACCATTCCATTATCATCCATTAAAAAAAAAAACAGAGTATACTATTTCGCCCATGATACTCCTTATTTATACATTGCCATTCCTGAGGACTGAGGCATTATGCCTCTGTGCCCTATAATTTGCAATTGTTTGAAGTAGTTTTATGGTCCCTGCGTAGAATGGACCACCCCTTCCTTTCCTATGAGTGTCGTAAGAGCGACTAAGGAAACTGAATGGTCGAGGGATGGGCAGCAGCGTCTCTCTTAAAACATCTCTAAAAGCCTAACTGCGGTTGCCAAACCGCCTGCCAAGCGTGGCAACTGCTGGCAAAACTCCCCTTATGGGGCAGGCTTATGTTCAGCAGTGGACAGTTAACGGCCGAAATGATGATGATGCGAGCCTACTGGCATCACTCAGTTTTAGTTTGTTAACGGTGTTTCTCATCTTAACGTTACAGAGGAGAATTCTCAACCGCCAAGAGGGAATAGTGGACCGAGTGCTACAACAACCACTATCAGACCTACAGGTAAGTTAGTTACCAAAACTCGAATTTATATTTTTTGAAAAAAAATTAATTTTTACATGACAAGTACTATCCTGTATTGTAAAGTTATCAGTAGCTTTATTATGATTTTTAAATTAAATTACATAATAAAAAACAACGAGTTACATACCAAATGATTTGTATACAACTTAAAATGGCAAACTAGCTGACGGTCCACCTAATGGAGAGTGGTAACCGTCGCCTATAGACATGAGTAGTACCATGCACATAACAGAGTATACTATTTCGCTCATGATACCCCCCATGCGTTGTCATTCCTGAGGACTCAGGTGTTATTCCTCTGTACCCAGTAAATTCACGCCATATCCCACCCTTCAAACCGAAACACAGCCATGCAAACACAACTGCTTCACGGTTGAAACACGAATGGGACAGAGGTACCCAAGCAATCGACTTTTATACAAAGTCTCCCTCTGGTAATGAGAAGTGATACAAAAGGCGGCCTTATCGCTAAGCAATCTCTTCCAGACAACCTTTGGGTAGAGGACATTGAGAAAATGACAAAGGGTGGGTGACGCATTATTATATAAATATTATCATATACAAACATATATAGATACATACATACATACATACACATACATATATAATATATACACAATCAAATATATACATAACATACACATACTTAACAGCACACATACAACAGAAAAAAAAATTACGATAAATTATTGGATCGTTGCTTAAAAATAAGAGAAAAAAAGCTGTTTTTTAAAGTTATTTTTTTATTTCTTCAATGACATTCGACCGTTATTTTTACAACTATTTTCGTCGACGTCAAGTATAAAAGACTCGTACTATTTCACTAAATAAATAAATAAATGTATAGATAATTTATTTGCATTACTAACAGCACACAAATAACGACAAATAGTATAAAAAAAAACAGAAGGAAAACATATAAAAGAAGTAACATAATTTTTTCCCTTCATGCGTGTGCCACAGTAACACCAAATGGTCACAGCACAGCTTATTGCGTTGCCCTCAAAATAGAAAAACTGATATTCTGTTGTGGCCAAAACACTTGGGTGGATTCTAAAACGATCTTTTTGTAAACAATTCAGAGATAAAATTAGAGAAATGACATCAAAATCATGAAGCTATTTAGCTTTTTAAAACAATTGCTCTTTTTTTTTTTTTTTTGTTAATAAAAATGTTTTTTTCTTTGCAGACGAAGCAGGTAGATTTTTCGTTCAGTACAATAACATACCGATGGGTGTTGAAAGAGTTGGCGAGAGACTGTTCGTGACTGTTCCACGACGAAGATATGGTGAGTAACTACCATAAAAGTACTATAAACAATTGCAAATTACAGATTACAGAGGCATAACACCTAAGTCTACTTAGAATAGCAAACAAGCTGACGGCCCACCTGATGGAAAGAGGTTACCGTCGCCTATAGACGTGAGCAGCGTGGACATAACAGAGTATACTGTTTCGCCCATGATATCCCCCATGCGTTGCCATTCCTGAGGACTCGGGTGTTATTCCTCTGTACCCTGTAAATTCACTGTCATATGTCAATCTTCAAACCGAAACACAGCCATGCAAACACAACTGCTTCGCGGTTGAAACACGAATGGGACAGAGGTGCCCAAGCAAACGACTTTTGTACAAAGCCTCCCTCTGGTAGCTATCTATTTATCTCATTCAAACTCCATCACCAAGACCCTTAACCAAAAATCAATCGTCTTAATCATCATGTTTTGTCTGTTTCCAGGTGTAATATCAACTCTAAACTTCATAGACTTGAGTCGAGATTCGCACACGCTATCGCCAGCTCTGAAGCCGTACCCCAACTTCAGCGTCTCCAGACGTCTCACGTCCGTGTACAGGACCAGAGCGGACAGTTGCGGTCGACTGTGGATGGTTGATACTGGCATGATAGAAATACCAAGTTAGTTTTTTTTTAATATGTGAAAATGGCACGCTGACTTCGCCTGCGCTATCGGTATACAATGGCGAGGTACCAGTGAGAGGACGAAAGTGTCATGCTTCTGTACCCAGAGGAAGACTTTGTACATAAGTCGATTGCTTGGGTACCTCTGTCCCATTCGTGTATCAACCGTGAAGCAGTTGTGTTTGCATAGCTGTGTTTCGATTTGAAAGGTGGGATATGGCATGAATTTACTGGGTACAGAGGAATAACACCTGAGTCCTCAGGAATGGCAACGCATGGGGGGTATCATGGGCGAAACAGTATACTCTGTTATGTCCATGGTACTGCTCATGTCTGTAGGCGACGGTTACCACTTTCCATCAGGTGGGCGGTCAGCTTGTTTGCCATTCTAAGTTGTATAAAAAAAAATAACTTTCTTACAGACAATCGACAGCAGGTACAGCCACCGGCGATTGTGGTTTTCGATCTCAATCGTGACAGACAGATCTTCAGGTACCAGTTCAAGAGTGCAGACATTCCTGCGGAAAACACGCCGACTGGTAAATATAAATTACAATCGACTGCAAAAACAAGGAGATTCTCAATTCTGTTGCATGTTTATTTAACTAAAAGGATTTTTTTATACAACTTAGAATGGCAAACAAGCTGACGGCTCACCTGATGGACAGTGGTAACCGTCGCCTACAGACATGAGCAGTACCATGCACATAACAGAGTATACTGTTTCGCCCATGATACCCTCCATACGTTGCCATTCCTGAATTCCTCTGTTTCCTGTAAATTCACTACAATATCCCACCCTTCAAACTGAAACACAGCCATGCAAACACAACTGCTTCACGGTAGAAACACGAATGGGACAGAGGTGTCCAAGCAAACGACTTTTGTACAAAGTCTCCCTCTGGTAAACTTCTGATAACTGAACTAATCTCTTGCAGATTAGTCCCGTATAAATTTTATCAAAATCGGTTCTGTGGTTTAGTCTCTAAATCGAAATAACTGGTTTAGCCACAAATGAAATTCTTTTTTTTTAGAACAAAATCTTAAAATATTATCTATAATATTTGTGGTGCCGGCATAGAATGGACCACCCCTTCTTTTCCCGTGAGTGTCGTAAGAGGCGACTAAGAGAACTTAATGGCCGAGTGATAGGTAGCAGAATCCTTCTTAAAACACCACCAAAAGCCAAACTACCGTTGCCAATCCACTTACCAAGCTTGGCAACTACTGGCATAATTCCCCAATGATAAACTGCAATAAGGAACAACCCTGGAATACGATAGTGCCTATATACAAAGATTAAAATTTGACTACCAACTTGGATACTCCAGAACTCCCCAGTAGTGGAGTTTTTTTCAAAATATTTTCTAATGTGTTTAATTGACACGTAGTCTTGGTATGGAATAGGCCACCGCTTCCTTTCCCGTGGGTATCGTAAGATGGGTAGCAGTGATCCTCTTAAAACGTCACTAAACTCTAACTGTAGTTGCCAATCCACCTGTCAAGTGTAGCAAGTACTGGCAAAACCTACCAATAGAGGATGGCCTATGTTCAGCAGTGGACAGATAACATCTAATATGATGATGATGATGATGATGATGATTTGATCTATAGGAGACGATTGCCATTTTCCATCAAATAAACCATTAGCTGGTTTGGCTGTTACTTTAAGCACGCTTAAAGGATATTTTCCAACATCCCAATACGTATAAAACATGTATGTCTTTCGCAGGTTTAGCCTCAATCACTGTGGACATCACCGACGGTGATTGCGAGAATGCCTTCGCGTATATACCGGACTTAGCCACCTACGGTCTGATCGTATACTCCTTGAGGGACAACGATAGCTGGAGGCTGTCTCATAACTTCTTTTCATTCAGTCCCACGTCTGGAAACCTTAATATTGCCGGTAAATAGATAGATAGGTCAAGTTCATCAGCAAAGTCTAAATTCGGTTGCCAGCCCGCCGGCCAAGCGTGGCAACTACTGGCTAAACCTCCAGAAAGTTAGTAATGCGAATTACCACTCCCATTGCTAACAATATACCCTAACAGGTCGACCTTCCCGTAGTCCCCCCTAGAAACCATCGTGCTGAATTCCAAGTGTATTCATTACGATGAACTAACTGACCTACCTTTTCATTCTCACGTATCATTCTTCACCGGTGCCCCGCCAGTGTATACCGTTAGCGCAGGCGGGGTTACCATTTTTTTATCATCCATCAAAAAAACAAACCTCTACGGGGGAGGTCTATGTCCAGCAGTGGACAGTTAACGGCTGATATGATGACGATGATGACTCGTGTTTGTGCCGCCATGCAGCTATGCCTGAGGGAAAAGGGATTTTTAGTAATGGAGACTGAGAATCCCATTGCTAGCAATACACCCAACCAGGTCGACCTCCTCGCAATTCCCCTGGAAATTATCATGGTTAATTCCTGATGAATTCGTCATGATGGGCTAACTGGCCTGTATTCATTCTCATCTATCACCCTTCACTGGTGCACCGCCAGCGTATCCCGTTAGCGCAGGCGGGGTTACCGTTCCATTTTCACCCATAAAAAAAGCAGTCGTGCTTATAAAGCCGTTGGTGTTGTGGGTGACCATGGGCGGCGGTAGTCACTTACCATCAGGTGAGCTGCATGCGCGTTTGCCCCCTGTGTTGTAGCGCTGTCGTTGTCTGGGCGGAGCTAGGTTGGCTGTACTAGCCACGACTCATACGCACAACGGCCCAAATGAGAGGCTAAGCGTTGAAAATGGAGTCTTTTTCAAATTCATATTGACATTCACCCCTATGTTGTAAAAAAAAGTCCTGATTTGTATTGTAAAGTGAAATACAGCAGTAAAATTAGGTTACTTGTGATGGCAAAAGATCTTCACGTCACAGAAGTTGGTAGTACGCGAGTGATTCCTCTAGAGTTGTAAGCGACCACAGGTCATCCTGCTTACTTGATTGCCATTCCGAGTCATATAAATAACGACGCATTCAGGCTTCGTTAGGGATTCTGTTTTTTAAATCGGTTAAGCATTTTTTAATTTATCCATTACAAATAAAAGAAATTTAGTTATTTTATTTGTAATGAATAACCTCTTTATAATGGTCGTTTAGACGCCATATTTACATGCCAAAAACAGAAACAATCTCAGTCTAAAGAAACCTCAACTTTCTCGAAGCTGTAAATCTATCATAGTGTATGACTATCACCAGGTCTCAGATTCCAGTGGAGCGACGGAATATTCAGCTTAACCCTGGTGCCAGGTAGAGGAAACTGCAAAACAGCGTACTTCCATCCCCTGATCGGCACCCAAGAGTTCTCCGTATCCACTTGCGTGCTGAAGAACAGGACAGTGTCCTCAGATCCGAATTACTGGTCACTTTTCTCTGTAAGTATTGTATTTTTTTTACTTTTTTTTTCTACCACTTACAATGGCAAACAAGCTGGCGGATCACCTGATTGAAAGTGGTAACCGTCGCCTTTAGACATAAGCAGTACCATGGACATAACAGAGTATACTGTTTCGCCAATGATATCCCCCATGCGCTGCCATTTCTGAGGACTCAGGTGTTATTCCTCTGTACCCTGTACCTCCCACGAGCACTCGGGTTGTGGAATGAGCTCCCTGCCAAAGTTTTTCCAAGAGACTACAGCATGGGGTTTTTCAAAGGGAGCTAAAGAGGTTTCTTCAGGGTCGGCAACGCACGCGTTTTGCCTCTGATATTGCAGGTGTTCATAGGCTACGGTAACCACTTACCATCAGGTGGGCCGTATGCTTGTTTGCCACCTCAGTGGTATAAAAAAAATTCACTGCCATATCCCACCGCTCAGAGCGAAACACAGCCATACAAACACAACTGTTTCACGGTAGAAACACGAGTGGGACAGAGGTGGCCAAGCAAACGACTTTTGTACAACATCTCCCTCTGGTAACTGGTGTTTTACTTAGAAAAGCAAGATCTTCCTAATATAATAGTCACCTATAGATAAGACAACAAATTAAAAACTGATATTCCTGTCTTCTTGTGTAGAAGATAAGGTATATTGCTAGCAAATGCAAGCTGTTCGACAATTACTCTCAATCCCTCTTCCTCCCTTTCCAGTTATTAGGAGATCGCGGCGAAGGAAGTCAAGCTACTATGCACGACTACCACCCAGCTTCCAGGGTGGTTTTCATCGCTGAGATCGGAAGAGATGCTGTGTCCTGTTGGAACACTGGTGAAGCCCTCGTGTCTACCAACATAGCAATATTGGCGCAGGACAGCCAGAGACTAAGCTATCCAGCTGGTGAGTTGTATAACAGTTTGAAATGTATCTCTAATATTACTTATATTAAAGTGGCGCCCTCTGGTATTAAGAGTTTTGTTCCTGTCTTCGTTTACAAGGCCTTTGCCATGGCTTGCCAGACAAGAGTTTAAAGCACTATCTAAAGTACGAAGCAAGATAATTTAAAAACTTTCATAATTTTACTAATGAAATGTGGGGGAAAGGGATTGTTAGTAATGGAAACTAAGAATCCCATTGCTAGCAATATACCCAACCAGGTCGACCACCTCGCGGTTGTCCCTGGGAACTATCATGGTTAATTCCTGATGAAATCGTCATGATGGGCTAACTGGCCTGTTTTAATTCTCATATATCACCCTTCACTGGTGCTCCGCCAGCGTATCCCGTTAGTGCAGGCGGGGTTATCATTCTATTTTCACCCATAAAAAAAAGTTGTGAAATGTGGAATCTTACCAGAGGGAAACTTTGTACAAAAGTCATTTATTTGGGCACCTCTGTCCCATTCGTGTTTTTACCGTGAAGCAGTTGTTTGCATGGCTGTGTTTCGATTTAAAGGGTGGGATATGGCAGTGAATTTACAAGGTGCAGAGGAATAACACCTGAGTCCTCAGGAATGGCAACGCATGGAGGGTATCATGGGCGAAACAGTATACTCTGTTATATCCATGGTTTTGCTCAAATCATAAGCATGAGCTGAGTATTACTAGAGAACTGATTGTCCTAGATTGGAAATAGAGGGCGCCATGTACATTGGTATTTATTTTATGTAACCATTTTCAGATCTGCACGTCACAGGCAATGAGGTGTGGGTGATCGCAAATTCATTGCCGCGCTTTAGCTACTCGAGATTGGATACTAACAGCTACAACTTCTATATTTATAGGTAAAATTTAAAAAAACACATTGCTCACCTATTTCTTGGAAAAATCACTTTCCCTTTAAGCTTCTCTTGCTGGTTACTCTGTTTGAGTCATAGATTGCTATTTGCCCTTCTATTACAGTTGTTTTATTTAAATGTTTTATATAGTAATATTTATTTATGTATTTATTATATGTATATATTAATTTATTTAATATATTATGTGTATATTTATATTAGTCTATTTATATGTGCATATTATATGAACATATCAAGTATTGCTTTATATTTCCTCTATTCAATAATGCACCGCCTACGTATTTCTCTGTTCGCCCAATGGTCGACTGGTAGAGAACATCGTCCGGTGTTAAGTCCACCATATGTACATAGAATTTTACTGTGCGTTAAAGTTTAAATAAAATAAATAAAATTATCAACAAAAATAACAATAACAATATCTATAGGCGACGGCTCGTACCACTTAGAAACCATCGTGAACAATTCTCGTTGAATTCGTCACGATGGGCTAACTGACCTGCTTCATCCTCACCTATCATCCGTCACTGGTGCCCCGCCGGTGTATACCGATAGCGCGAGTGGGGCTACCGTTCCATTATCATCCATTAAAAAAAGACATGGTATATTACTAGCAATGTAGCTGATAATCCTCGTTACTAACAATCCCTTCCCCCCTACTATACATGTATTAGCCATGTGGTTTCGGCTTAGAATGGACCAATCCTTCCTTTCCCGTCGTAAGAGGCGATTAAGAGAACTTAACATGTTAACAGTCAAATATAACAGCGTCCCTCTTAAAATATCAACAAAAGCCTAACTGCGGCTGCCAATCCACCGTGATAACTATTGGTAATACCCCCCAAGGGGGATGCTTATGTTTAGCAATGAACAATTAAAATTTACATAGCATACTGGCAGTAAATAATTTCGCAACTCTATTTTATTTTTTTAATTTTGCTCAGACACTATTTTTTTTTCAGAGGGAACGTACAAGAGCTAATAGCGGGAACGCCCTGTACCAGCTACAGTAGTTCGTCGAACTATAACATACAGTAATCGCGACGCTATTTTTTTTTTTGCGTTTTTTCTTTCGAACAGGCTACGACCATCGGCCATACTGCTTTGTCTGACAACTCAGGTTTAGACGCCGTCACACTAAAGAAAAAAAAATGTTTTTTTAATTTGTGTTTCTTAGAAAAAATTTTTAAATACTTGTATGATACTTTTTGAAATAAATTTGAATAACGCCATCACTACATGGTATAAATCAAAGTCGCTGTCTCTCCCTATGTATGCTTAGATCTCTGAAACTATACAACGGATTTTGATACGTTTTTTTAATAGATAGATTGATTCAAAAGAAATGTTTATATTTATAATACATGCATAATATAATTGAGAAATAATTTTAGAGTTTTCTAATATGATATCGTAAATAAACACATTTTTTAGCATTTCACCCGTGCGAAGTCAGAGCAGGTTGCTAGTATAACAAAAATAAAAAAATAGGGTATAGGAATATAACACCTTAGGCCTCAGAAATGGTAACGCATGACGGGTATCGGGCTACACAGTACTCTGTTATGTGTATGGTACTACTCATGTCTATAGACGACGGTTACCACTTTCCATCAGGTGGGCCGTCAGCTTGTTTGCTATTCTATAATACATAAAAAAATTTAGTTTCCAACACATGGAGACATAAAAATTTGCAATTAAAAAAATTTTTACTATTAAGCTTCATTTTTTTTTTTTTGTATTTTATGGTTTATAAACAACGAGAATTAATTATCATTTCAATAAACTATGATAATTTGCCAAGGTTTTTTTATGACGATAATAGGATGGTAACCCCGCCTGCGCTATCGGTATACGCTGACGGGACACCAGTAAAGGATGATAGGTGAGGATGAAAAGGCAAGTCAGTTAGCCCATCATGATGGATACATCAGAAATTAACCATGGTGGTTTCCAATAACCACCTGGTTGGGCAAATTTTTTTTAATAGGTGAAAAGGGAATGGTAGCCCCGCCTGCGCTATCGGTATACACTAGCGGGGTACCAGTAAAGGAAATAGGTGACGAATTCAACAAGAATTGTTCACGATGGTTTCCAGCGGTGGACCTCTACGCGGTTCCCCCTGGAAACCGTTGTACTTAAGTCATGCCGAATTCGTCACGATGGGCTAACTGACCTGCCTTTTCGTCCTCACCTACCATCCTTCACTGATGCCCCGGCAGCGTATCCCGTTAGCGCAGACGAGGTTACCGTTCCATTATCACCTATTTAAAAAATCGTGTACGTGACTGCAGACTACAGCTTGGCAAATTTTCGTCTACCTAAAAAATACAAATACCTTAATAATCACGTTAGTTTCCGTTTCTTATATTCCACACTGTTTTTAGAAATTTGTTATAAGCTTTTTTTATATTTTGTAAAATAAATAAAAACTCGAATAATATTGTTTTTTTTTTTTACTAATAATGCTAGAGTCAATATTGTATATTGCCACTAACACCATCTAGCGATTTGTTTCGTAAATATGGAATGAATGAATAAAAACACTTTCTCGTTCCCTTCAAAGAATGATACAGATTAAAAATTGAGTGAAAATGGAATGGTGACTTTGCTATTTGATAGTTAATTACCGCCTCTAGGTATTAATATGATGGCGAGAAATAAAACACACCTGGGCAAACAAGCTGACGGCCCACCTGATGGAAAGTGGTAACCGTCGCCTTTAGACATGAGCAGTACCATGGACATAACAGAGTATACTGTTTCGCCCATGATACCCCCCATGCGTTGTCATTCCTGAGGACTCAGATGTTATTCCTCTGCACCCTGTAAATTCACGCCATATCCCACCCTTCAAACCGGAACACAGCCATGCAAACACAACTGCTTCACGGTTGAAACACGAATGGGACAGAGGTACCCGAGCAAACGACTTTTGTACAGTCTCCCTCTGGTAATTACATGATATCACTCATATCTAGTTACTATACACTACAAATATAACTACAGGTTAAATGTACAAAAAATAACAGACAAAAATGGATTTAAAAAAATTTATTTACCGTTCAATCTCTCCATACAATATTTAAATAATAAATGATATGGTAAATAATAACAATATATATAACTCTTCAATTTGTCAAATCAAACATTTGTACTTAACAAAACATCGATTAAAATTAAAACATTAATGTAAGTAGCTATTTAAATTTCTTTTTTTTTTTTGTAGCTTTTGTAACAGCTCGGCTGCACAGTTGATTTCTTTTGCGTTCCACTTTGTGAAAAACTATACTGCCTACCTAAGTCTAATAAGTTCTTTTTTTGTTTTTATTTTTATACCACAAAATTAAAATAGATAATAGGGAATAGAAATGGCAAAATGCTGGGCCAACTTACACATCATAACAATTTTTTAAAGAACATAGTAGAAGGCAAAAGAAGAAGGGGAAGACCGAGGAATAACTACATGGGACAGATAAAGGAAACACTATGTGTCATGTCGTATAGGGAGGTCAAAGATATGACCTGGGATAGAGCTGGCTGGAAGAGAACGCATGAATTAGTTGCACCGACAAGAGGAAACTGTTAAATCAAAAGGAAAGACAATAAAATTAGATTTTTATGAAAGGAATCCATATTGGAAATTTAGGTACCCAATGTACCATTTTTAATTAAAAATTATTTATTATACAAATACAACAATTATATTTTTAATAAATTTAATAAACATATTAGAATTATTTTACTAAAACATAAAATAACTTCTTCTTTAAATTATATATAATACACAATTTTCCTGCACTGAATTAATTGTTTATTCAACTTTTTATTGCACCAGAAACATAAAAATAAACAATAACATAAAAAAAAATATTTATCTGGTTAATTATTATTACCTTTAAGGTAATATATGTGTAGCTATATAATCCTATATAGGCGAAATTGAAACAAGCATTAGATGCTGTCTTTAATTTTACCTTGAATATGGGTATTTGCAAATTAGTTTTTTTTTTTTATTTTTTAATTTAATACATTTTATGCTCAAAAAGTTTAAAACGTTAAGTACTCTATCTAATCTGTAAACACAAAACTGATGCTATCTAGAGAAGAATTAAATATTACTTAGTCTCTCTATCTATTACTACAAGTGCGAGCAAGGTAAAAAACAATACGAAAGGTCACATTGAATTAAAATTTATTGGCTTCAGTTTTGTATTCACAGTCCAATTTTAAATTGGTAATAAGCTTGCCTATATTTATATAATGACGAACGCTACATTAGGCCGACCTTCGGTCGCCGATCATCCGCGTGCGACGAGCCAATACGTCAAGCTACATGCGATTAATACTCCGTCACATAGTACGGAAGATCGGTCGTTACGTAGACGTAACGCCGCGGAATAAAAGCGTCTATTCGGTCGTCCAGGTACCAATATTCCGCTGGCGGGAGATCGGCAACACCATACTGTATGTTTATGTATTTTACTGTGTTGCAGTATGTATGTATGTATGTTACTGGGTTTGTTGTACGCGTCCGTGCAGCCTAACTTCAGGCTGCAGCTGAAAATCAGTGCTTTGCTTTTAAGCAAAACCATCAGTGAGCTGTAGCCTGTTCGGGTCACTGCGACACACGTGGCGAAACCATATTTTCATATTTTATCTTTTGTTGTATATTTTGAAAAGTGTAAATAATTTGATTGTATAAACTCATTTGTAAATTTACGTGTGTCATAACATGGCTCAAATAAAAAGTTTCTCTATCTATCTATCTATTTGACATCTCGTACTCAGCGGATGATCCGTGACTGTTCACATTGATAAATAATGAATAATTACGTATATAATAAGCAAATGAATATAAACGACCGAAGGTACAATGGAGGCTGTAGCTTATGTAGTCTCTTCAATTTTTAATGCCTTAACTTTTTGGATATCCGAATATGGCAGCATGGCTACCGAAGCAGTCCTTTTGAAGTTATGTGTGAAGTTCAACACAGCTATCTTCTTCGGCATTGCAACGATGACTGTGTGACCGTCCTCTGCTTCCAGCACATCGACCTGAAGGATCGGACTCATGGCAAGGACTGGACAGTCGCGACGCTCCACAAAATTGTACTGTTTCACTGGTTCCGAATTGAATAAATCTAGTTGTCCAGATTTGTACGGAGCGTAGTATATACGTAATACACCCCAGTTGGATCCGACAAAAAAGACATCACCGTATGATTTGACAAGTATTATATTATGGATAGGATCCCGTGGTAATGTGTGGTTCAGTAAATACATCCATTGGATATAGACGCGCCAATCCATACTGTCTATAAGGTTGTGCTGGTTAAGAACATGAAGTATATTAGAGTCCTCATGAAGAGTACACGTTAAAATTATATCTTGGTTGACAAGACTGTAAATATTACGCTGCAATGTCAATATATGGAGACAGTCTGTGTATCCGAATGTCATAACTCCATCTTCAGTCTTTTTAATAAACGTCTTGGTTAATCTATCGGCGTCTAAGTTGCATACGAATATCTCATCCTCCATACTAACAAAATATACTTCCTTGTTAATGAGTATGAATGTTTTAACGTTATCAAAGGTTATGTCCGTTTCGAAAAAAGGATTCTTTATAAATTTACGAATGATGAAAAGGTGTAAATGATACCCGAGTATGACAATAGTGTGCTCGTTCTCAGCATATCTAGCATAGTCCCCCCTGATGGGGCCTCTTTCGTCACGCTCTAAAGTTTCTATATCATAATAAGTAATACAACTCCGCTTCTGGACACCTATGATCCCATCCCTCAGTACAACAAAGTCTCGAATCTCGTCCATGAAGCATGAAGCGGGCGCGAACTCATCACGAGTCTCCTTAGCTAGCGTTAACTTGGGCCACAGAGACAGGGAGCGGTAAATATTGCACCAACGAAGACCAAAGCGCCCCTTGTGTCTAGCAATTTTGTAAATGGAATTGAAATCGTTTTTGCAAAAATCTCGCCATAGTAAATCTTTTTTGAGTATGCTGTCTACTATCTGCTTCCACCTCAGACACACCTGGCGACACCTGGTCAAATCCTTCGCAGGTAAATACGTAAAAATGTAAAGTAGGACTTCAGTGGGAAATACGCACAGATGGGAAAAGTTTTCATCGTCTTTAGACATTTTAGGTGACTATATGTTTATTTATTGAAAACATATATCGACATAGAATAAGTTTTAAATGTATTTTATACGTTCCATTATATTTTTGTAATTTTTTTCGTATTTATAAACAAAACTTTAAAGGAATCGGACTGATACACTGCTGATTTGTTATTATTCTGACCAAATCTGACAGAACTAAAGAAAACTATATATTATTTAACTGTCAAGTCAGCTGCAGTGTCAGATTACATTAAGCTATATATACATCTGGGCAAGTAGAAGTACTATTCTATATCTATGACATATAGTGACTAGTCTACATCTACACTATTATTAAAACACATTGAAGATCATATTGCAAAATCATATATTTCACATATAGACCGGCATTTAACAGTAAAAATCGTTTTAAAATGAGGCTATGTCAAATTAACTAAGTCTACTATATAGAGTATATCTTCGAGGGAGCAGCGAATCAACTACTGCACATAAAATGTATTTAAAAATGGTCCCCAAGTAAAACATGTGTGCCCACCCGTGAGCACACGGGCGTTAATGTTGTTACGGATTGACCCGTTAGTTGGTATGCGGTTTTTAACGTGTTAAAGAGGAAAGATTTGTATGTACAAAAATTCTTTCACCATTAAAATATTACTATTATTTCTGATATTTTAAAAAAATATTTAATTATGCCCGCACACAAAGAAGGCGACCAAGATCAGATCACGAACTATCGACCAATTTTAGTACTAACATATTATTGCTAGTACCTGCCGCTTGCTAATAGTAATAGCTAAATATTAATATTACCAACTTAGTACTATTTGAGTTTAAACTACCCTTCCAAAATAAATTGTCTGATTTTTGTTATAATGCATAATTTACAAATACTTTTTTATTCTTTATTGTACACAAAAGGTTATTGAAATGAAAAACAAACATAATAGTGCACAAAGGCGAGCTTATCTCCAAAAGAGATTTCTTCCAGCAAACCCAATATGAAAAAACTGATAGTTTATTAATAGTTACATCCATACATGTGTACCAATCGACTTAAATATTATAGTTAAAAATAAATAAATAATAATATATATAAGTAAATACGAGTACATATAAATAGATAGATATATATTATATACATATAATACACAAATATAATAAGTACGTACATCAGCATTGTGAGAGGTAATAATTCTTCAGACGCGATTTGAAAATCCTAATACTTGGGCTATTTCTAATTTCTTGTGGTAGTGTGTTCCATAATCTAATTGCAGCCACAACAGGAGAGTTCGAATACGCTTGACCAGAATAAATCGGAGTTCGCAATAAAGAACTATTCGATTTATTCGTTTATATATGTAATTTTAGTATGTATGTACGAGGTTTGTCCGGAAAGTACGTATAAAAGTTTTTTAAAAATTTTATTTTACAATTATTCAGGTAAATCAATTTTATCCCCTTCAAAGTACTCCCCCTGTGACATAATGCACTTGTGCCAACGCCGTTTCCACTGTGAGAAGGCTCCTTGAAAGTCCTCTGGTTGTAGGTTTCTCAGCTGCCCCGTCGTAGCTTTTTTTATCTCATTTATGTCCCCCAAATGCCGCCCCCGAAGTACCAATTTGGTTTTTGGGAACAAGAAGAAGTCACACGGGGCCAAATCCGGCGAATAGGGGGGGTGTTCGGTCACCGTAATGGAATTTTTACTCAAAAACTCACGGACAACAAGAGAGGTGTGGGCAGGGGCATTGTCGTGGTGAAGAATCCAACGCCCCTCTCGCGCCAATTCTGGACGAACTCGTGCCACACGACTGTCTGACCGTTAAACGACGGTCCCCATTAACACAAGTTCGAATTCTTTCCACGTTTTCGTCGGAATGTGAAGTGGAAAGACGTCCTGAACGTGGGTCATCTTGAACGCTTTCTCGGCCCTCTCTGAATCTTTTTAGCCACTTGTGGACGGTTGGTTCCTTCACAGCATCATCCCCATAAACTGTTCTGAGATCGGCAAAAATTTCACGGCCATTCTTGCCGAGTTTCGAGAGAAACTTGATTACGACGCGCTGCTCTTCAACGGAAGCGGGCTCCATGCCGACGGGGTTTCGTTAAGAGGTAACTTCACAGATGGCGTGACAAGCCAGTTCGCACCGCACGGCGGTCAGACCAGAACTGAAGCATTGTTAGGGACATAAGGAAGGGGTCCTGCGCTTACCTGGCCTCCCCACTCCTCTTTCTCGCATTCCAGAACACTTTTATACGAACTTTCCGGACAGACCTCGTATATCAATAATTAGTAGTACCGCATTCGAGTATGCTGACACTTCCCTATGGTTGACTGGGAGAGAATGCTTTTATCATTAAGTCCGCCATGTACACATATTTGTACTAATGAATAAATAAATAAAAAAACGTCTAAGAGTCCTAATATCGCTTTCCGCCAAATACAGAAAGTGAAATCGCTAAATATGTGCATTTTATGTTTATTTTATGATTATAATAATTGAGTTACATCACATAATGTAAATTTTTATGTTGTGTAGATACTTGTACCTCTATTTTAAATGTATGAAGGAGTGTATAATACTCGCCAAACGATTTATGTCTAATTATAAATTCTAGGCATACGTACACTGGAAATTATTACATTTGTAATCACTTACGATAAATCTTTTCAAAACAAAAACTAATAAACAATACTAACAACGTTATCTACATTATTGAAAAAACCCCTAATAATAGACTTATCAACTTTTTAAAACATAATAAAATTGTATCATCTTGTCAATTTAGATTTCAATCTGGCAAAAGTACAGTAAATACTCTTAATCTACTAGTAAAACACGTTACTAGACAAATAGATGCCGAACAAAAATGTCTAGGAGTGTTTCTCGACGTAGCCAAGACTTTGATACCTACGCTCCTGGAAAAACTGTAGAGAATTGGCGTGAGACGTAAGGCTCTTATAATATTTAAAGACTTTTTATCTAACCATACTCAACAAATAAAGATTGATGTTAACGATGAGACTCCAATTGTTTGGGATATCCCTCAAGGTAGCGTCCTCTCTCCAAATCTTTTTTTATTATATATAAACGTATTATGTAAATAAGAATTAGACAAAGGTATAGTATTAAATTATGCTGATAATACGGACTTAATATTTCACGGAGAGACTACGCTGAAAAAGGATTCAATAAAGAGGCACATTGGCTTGCGGCTAACTACTACTATATACTGTACTACAGCTAAATACTGTAACAAAAACCAAATGTCTTAATATACCAGTTGCATAAAAAATCTACAGTGTTCATTACTGCATATATTTATAATAACTGACATAGATTTACAAATTTATACATGCTGTCCCCCATTTCGTGAAAACTGCTCATGTTATACCGTTTCCAAAGGAGTATCTTTACATACGATATCTAGGCGTAGCACTGGACTGCAGTATAGATTGAGGTTCCTATATTGATCTTATTATTTCGCGTACCAAGAAAGTTATTTAGAGTTTCAAAAAGTGGAAACATATTGTAGATTTTAATCTTTTGCGTGCAATATATTTCTCATTTACTAAATCTGTATTTGGGTATCGTATTGCAGTCTGGGATGGTGTTTGCAAGACTCATATGATACAATTAGAGTGTGCTTAGAGATCTTTGTTAAAGGTAATGAATTTTAGTCCTTATAGATTTCCCTCAAAATTACTATATAACAAATACCAAGTACATATTATTAGATAATTATATATCTTTCATATATCTAACATTTATTATTATTATTATTAATAATATTTACCAATATCAAAACACTAATATAAATATTCTTTATCTATGTCATCATGTTCAACGTATAGACATAACTTTATAGCTATTCCATCATCGACTTGACAGAAAAAGTAAAAAATATATCAAATTCAATGCAGCCAACATGTAGAAAAAACAATATTTTTGTTTAGACGACTACATTTGAAACTAATTTAACGACGACGGTAAACAAGTAATAAAATCGAAAATAATTTTATAATGGCAGCCTTTAAAACATTACGAGATATATGTAATAATTTCGAAGCGGACTTGCAACAATCTTCAAAAGAATTATTTTCAGCAAACGTTGGAGAGAAGGCCGAAGATGTTATCGCTAAGAAAATGCAAGATCTCTCCCTTTTTACATCTAAACTAAGACTATTGAAAGCAAATACACTATCATGTAAGTAATACGAACGCATAAAAACAATACGACACGGAAATCCTCTTTTAACATTTGGTAGTATTGAAAATACTATGTAAATATTTTAAATACACAGTCGAAACTTTACGCAATGAAAAATCCTTTGCAGGTAAACAGTACCTATATACCTGCTTCTTTATTGCCTACTGCCCTTTCTGCCGTGACCAACGTCTACTACTACTACTATTTAGTACCTACATATCTACGTCAAGTCCCTATTGTATACTTTCTAAACAATGCGAAAGTTTCAAAATTAACTATTTAACCACTTAGTGCGAGGGTTTTTCTGTGAAATGAGGTCAACTGGCGCACTGGCGCACGCACTAAATTCGAATGAGCATACAATAATATACTAAGCTCTATGAAAAACAAACGGGCGAGAAGGTATCGCTCAAGTTATAAAATATAAACAATATTTATAAGTGATGAAAGGTTCTCGGGATAGCACAAATCGGAACACATTTGATGCGCGAGAGGGTCTCGTTCGAGATGCTTAAGTGGTTAAACAACACATTAATTCTTTGAAATAACAAGGGTTGGGCTGCTTGAATATATTGCAAGCAACGGGACCATTATTTCCCCATTAGTATCAATCCCTTCTCCCTCCCATTTTCACATAAAGCAAGAACAAATGAAGTAATGATAGAGTGGCAGAGAAGCAAAATGCGGATAAGAATAAAAGTGAAAGGGATTGTTAGTAACAAGGGCTAACAGCCTCATTGCTAGATTTTTTACTGAGTGATGTAAGAAAGACTCTGTTTTCCGCACTTAGCCTCCCATTTGGGCCGTTGTGCGTGCTGAGTGATAATGGAATGGTAACCCCACCACCACTATCCACCACTAACCACCTGCTCTATCTATCAGTATACGCTGACGGGGTGCCAGTGAGAGATGATAGGTGAGGATGAAGCAGGTCAGTTAGCCTATCGTGGAGAATTCCATGAAAAATAATCATGATGGTTTCCAGTAGGAACCGCTTGGAGGTCGACCTGATAGGGCATATTGCTAGCAATGAGATTGTTAATTCCCATTACTACCAATCCACCTCTCCTCCTGCCCCATTGCTAGTAATACACCTTATCAGGTCAACCTCCACGCAGTTCCCCCTGGAAGCCATTGTGCTAGATTCCAGATCTATTTATCATAATGGATTAATAAAGTACAAAAATTCCTAAAGTGTACTTCACTTACTCAAACAAATTTACCAGTTGACTGACCAACTGTAAACATCACCAAAGCTTGTGATTGCAAACCCGCCTGCCAAGCATGGCAACTACTGGCAAAACCCCCCAAAGGAAAGCCTATGTTCAACAGAGCACTGTTAACAGCTAATATAATGGTGAATTCTTCACCATCTTCTTCATTCTTCAACATTATCATTAATCAATCATTATTCATCACTTCAACAGTGACCCCAGAAATCACAGAACAAGAAAAGACAGAAGAGACAGTATTAAACAGTTTTGGTGATACAGCGACCACGAAAGTGTTGGAACAACATATTGTGAAGTTCCTGACTCAGTCTCATGCTGTTCAGTCATTGATAACCACAGCTGATAAGGACTTGCAGCCAGAAATGATTGAGAGGAAAGAGTGAGTGGTTTTTGAATAAATCCTTACTAAAATATTTTTTTATGCAACTTAGAAAGGCAAACAAGCTGACGGCCCACCTGATGGAAAGTGGTAACCATCACCTATAGATATGAGCAGTACCATGGACATAACAGAGTAATGTATATATATAATATATATATATGTATATATATATATATACTATAAATAATATAAATGTAATAAACTTACAGAAAAATCATAGAAACCATGAAACTTTACCAGCAACAAGAGTCACAGTTGCGTCACCTGGATGCACTCCTCAAGGAGAAGGAGGCTCAGCTGGCGGCGGTGAGGGCACAGTGGGACGAGGAACTGTTACTGATGAGGGATATGAGTGACAAGATCGAAGATATAGAGGTTGATGTCTCTGGACCATTGCATGTGTAAGTGAAATTATATAAAAACTAGGTATTGAGTAATATATACTCAAGCTAAAATATCATGTGTTTTTAATTGTTGATAATGGAATGGTAACCCCGCCAGCTTATACCAATTGCGCAGGCAGGCTTACCATTCCTACTGGTGAGGGATGGTAGGTGAGGATGAAAAGGCAGGCAAGTTAGCCCATCGTGACGAATACACCTGGAATTCAGCTCAATGTTTTCCAGGAGGGACCATGTGGAGGTGGACCTGACAGAGTATATTGCTAACATTGGTACATAACTATGTCACTTAACACATTTGATACCATATAGTCCTTACACTGATTGCAAATATATTAATTCGGGAGAAATAACATATCTCAGTCGCCATGTGGTCCCGGCATAGAATAGGCCACCCCTTCCTTTTCCGTGGGTGTCGTAAGAGACGACTAAGGGACGGTGAGAGGGCAGCAGCGTCCCTCTTAAAACATATCTAAAAGCCTTACTGCGGTTGCCAATTCGCCTGTCAAGCGTGGCAACTACTGGCACAACTCCCCTTATGAGGAAGGCTTATGTTCAGCAGTGGACAGTTAACGGCTAAAATAATAAGTATCTTAGTCACGCGGACAAAGTCACGGGCAAACACTAGTATTTTCTATATTTTTAGGAAATTACGAAAGCTGGTGGACAAATTGGAGCTGATGCGGTGGTTGTTGGGCAAGCTGGTAATCTCCCGTACACACGACTACGATTGGTTTGCAGACCCTCACTCCAGACTCTCTGCGTTGAAAATCATTAGAACACCAAATACGCTAGAGACCTTCACTGGAGCGTCCTGATGTTGATTATATCACATAAATGATAGACAATAAAAAATTAAGCACTCTTATGTTTTTTTTTTTTATGGACAGTGTTTATTTAAAAAACAAATATAATCACACCCCGGACTATTTATACAAAAAACACCACGATCTGGGATTGTTTACAACTACAGAAACGAGTAACTTCTGTACATGTGATAATGTGAGCGTTAGAGATAGCGCGGGAACCACAGCGCGGCATAGAAAAACTATTTTTTTTTTGATGGGTGAAAATGGTATGGTAACTCCGCCTGCGCTAACGGGATACACTGGCGGAGCACCAGTGAAGGGTGATAGATGAGAATGAAAACAGGCCAGTTAGCCCATCATGATGAATTCATCAGGAATTAACCATGATAGTTTCCAGGGAGAACAGCGAGGAGGTCGACCTGGTTGGGTATATTGCTAGCAATGGGATTTTCAGTCTCCATTACTACACTACTAGCAATCCCTTTCCCCCCATAGAAAAACTATTGTATGTACTTTTCCAATCGGTTTCAGAATTAGGGAGGGCTGTGTCATCTGCCCTAACATATGCCTAGAGATGACAATTATATTAATTTTATTATATTAATAAGATCACATACATACATACATATCTGTCACGCCTGCCTCCCATTAGGGTAGGCACAAACAATGGAACGCCAAATACTTCGATTCAAACAAATCTCTCGCTTCCTCCACATTCATCAATCTTTTCATACACGCTCGCCGGTTACGGGTACTTTTAATTTGTCCCTTCTTTAGCACGTCGCCTATTTGATCGACATACGTCCGTCTAGGGCGTCCCCTACCGACATCTCCATTCATTCTTGCTCGATAAAGCTCTTTCGTAATTCTTTCATCTATCCTCTCCAAATGACCAAACCAACGCAACATTCCTTTTTCGATTTTGGTCTCTACAGCGTCTTTCAGTCCATACTTCTCTCTAATCACACTGTTTCTTACTCTATCTTTTAATGTAATACCACACATACATCTCAGAGCTCTTAACTCTACAACAGTAACAATAAGAGAATAAAGCAAAAAAATCGTTTATTTTGTTTTTAAATTTTTCACACTAGCCTCAATAGTTGACTGTCTGTATACATGTCAAGGCTCGTAAAACTTTCGCTCTCCATGTATTTGAGAATGGGCGCATTAAGATCTAATTCTTCCTCGCTGAGAGATGGAGAAGAATGATATGGTAACACCGCTTCCTCTTGGCGTTGCGCGTTCGATTTATTCCCTGCAATTTCATAATCAAAACCGTATACTTCTATTGAATGGTAAGACTTTGCTTTGTCGTTATTCGCGCTGTATTTACTTCTAGAATTAGTCAATTCTGAATATCTACTATTAGTTGATATAGATTTATAATCGTTTAATTGCTTTTTACTTAATTTGGTGCTGGAAGATATGACCTTTCTTCTTTTAAACATACATTCTGGATCGTTGAAATCTGTATCAGTTTTCTTTATAACGGATTTTTCAAATCTTATAGCTTGCACACATTTACGTTTATTTCGGGCCATTGTGCGCAATGCTTGGTATAGATTCTGTGGTTCTTGATAAGAGGCTACGTCTAACTTCAATTCTTCTTTGAACATGTTCAATAAAGTTCGCTTCTTACTTTTTCTAGACAACGACGATTTTTTATCCAAAACTGCGCTTTCGGATTTTAATTGTGGTGCTTTTTTCTGATAAATAAATGATTGTGCTTTCATTTTTCTTTTCTCCAGTCTCGGAGATTTCAACTGTAACTCCTGTCGAGTTTCTAAATACTTCGCCTTATTTTCTACTACTTTTTTATTGTAATCAGCCTCAGCCGTGCTGTAGAAAAGTTTTGAAGGCTTCCGAGTTAGATTATCAAACATTTCTGGAGTATCATTTTCTTTTATATCAAGTTTTTTAGCGACTGACTCGTCGATTTCGAAAACCGCATCTGTACTAACCTCACTCGGTATGCGGGGAGGAGCATTATATTTAGCATTCAAGTTATAAATGCTAAAAGTGGTTTCCAACAAATCAACAAATAAATTGTACATACCCTTGTCTTTAATGTTCTCTACTAAAGTAACTGGCTCGTCAATTCTTACTTTCTTATCAGTTTTCATTCTTTTCCCATGTAAAATTTGTTTTGTTACTCCGGCCTTACTATTGTTGATGTCATTTTTGGCAATCGTTGATACATCTGATAACTTGTATGATCCATTTTCAGAATAGTTTGAAGGTGTTTGCACTATATCTCTTCGTGGCTGTAAGATCACCAACTGTTCTTGGTTTTTGCATTTAGTAACTTGACCATTAAGAACGCTAGATTTATATCTGCCTTTAGTCTTAACCAATTTATCTTTTTCAGTGTCTTTTTCACTCATTATTTCCTTTATTTTACGTTGAACTTTATTTAAATTTCTCTTCTTAATATTTTCTGTACCTTGAGCTTTCGCAGGACGTTGGGTAGCTGCTGTTGATTTTGATAAAATATTTAATACAGAAGTCAAGAACTGTTTGTGGCCAGGCCGTGGTCGGGGTGATGGTTTTACTGTCTTTTGTAATTCTAAGTCAGTTTCTGCAAAAAAAAGAAGGAATAAATATAAGACAGTAAATCAATATAGTATCAGTACACTCTGTTATGTGCATGGCACTGCTCATGTCTATAGGCGACGGTTACCACTTTCCATCAGGTGGGCCGTCAGCTTGTTTGCCATTCTAAGTTGTGTAAAAAAAAAAACAAAAAAAATAACTTTGGACAGGCTATGTTTTGAGGAACTGTAGTTACTGCTGCCCATCCCTCGACCAAGTTCTTTTAGTCGCCTCTTACAACACCCACGGAAAAGAAAGCGGTGGCCCATTCTATTCCGGGACCACGCGGCTTTCATAATTACATACAATAGCTCTAATTTTCTTACCTTTATTACGTATGCTAATTTTCGTCGGTTTCTTCTCCACATACATTCCTCTCTTCTTTACACTATTCCTCTGAAATTCTACATTGCTTCTACTCTTCTTGTTGCTTCTGTTTTCAGATTTCGTCGTCATAGCGCTATTGGACGACTTAGATTTGATCACAGTGGATTTTGCTTCCATTTTAACTCGATATTATTTATTGAGTTAACAGACTTTTTTGAGACAACTTTGTTATTATCTGATAAAAGAAATTTTACATTATATACAGATCTGCATCTGAATTTTATCCAGAACACCAGTGATATAAGTAAGGATGAAAGCAGGTCAGTTGTGCCATCGTGAAGAAATCGACAAGAATTTACCACGATGGTTTCCAGGGGGAGAACCCATTTCTAACAATCCCTTACTTACCCCCCCCCCCTCCAGTAGAAAATTAGGAATTTGTCCTTTCTAAATCCATAATTATCACTTTCTCTTAGATTATACGCCATGCATTATCTGTTTTTTAGCGATCATTTTGACAAATTTATTTTACTACTCACTGTATCCCGCGGCTTCACCCGATTGAATCAATACATAAAATGTGTTAAGTTAGGATATAACTGCTTATATTTATTATGCTGTGTATAATTTGAGGCTACCATTTTTAAATATTATTTTATTTTTATAACATTTTAAAATGAAATATTAAATATATATTAGTAAATAAACTGACTAGTTTACTGTCATTCTTTATGACTAATAAATAACCTTTCTTATAATTTTTGACAAATGTATTTCAATCTCTTTTCTCTATACTAAATAATGAAAATAATACATAGGACATTTTTTTTATACAACTTAGAATGGCAAACAAGCTGACGGCCCACCTGATGGAAAGTGGTAACCGTCGCCTATAGACACGAGCAGTACCATGGACATAACAGAGTATACGGTTTCGCCCATAATACCCCCATGCGTTGCCATTCCTGAGGACTCAGGTGTTATTCTTCTGTACCCTGTAAATTCACGCCCGGACATACCTATATTTCACTGAACTAGGTGTTATCATGTGGAAGTCCATATCACTGGATTTGAATTATTTCGTTTAATTCCACTACCATCAGTATGCGTGTGACCGCCAACACTCGAAAATTTACTATCACTAACACACACAACAACAAACACGTAAACAACGTAACAACGCAAAACATGTGTGGACAAAATGACAATCGGAAATCGATAGCTAATATGGTTGTGGAACATATGGTCGATTCTTGAGTGGCGAGCCTGTACCGGCAAACACAGTGTAGGATGACGCCCCACTAGTTGAAGTGACGACCTTAAATGCATTCTAGGAAGTCAGTGAATGCAAGTGGATCAGGACCGTTCCTTATGGTAGTTTAGGGGACAATGGCTGAAATGATGATTATGATAATGACATTGAAGTTTTTAAAAACAAAACTTTTTCTATGACTAATAAAAAAACTAACTAACTAATATAAAATCGCGTTGGCAAACTGTCACTAACAAAATTGACAGATCTCGTGTTCGACATAAACAAATTAAAAATTCTCAGTATTCACAATGGACAAGAAAACAAATAAACCTGAAAGCGATAGGAAATTTGAAAACAAAATTTTAAAAGATAGAGGTGACAATACACGTAAACGGGACAAATCTAAAACTGGTGATGAATTTGAAAAACCATTTCCAGATAGAGGCGATACAGACAAAGCTAAGGACGAGAAAAATAAACCAAACGATAGAAAAGTAGAGGAATTTAAAACGAGATTAAGCGCACGTAATCTTAATTTTCAAACTAATAACGAAAGAAATGTATTGAAGAAAATGGATAAAAGCCAAGTAAATCCAATGCATTCGACTGTAATAGACAGACGGACAATTAAAGAGAAATATACTTTTAATAATCATTACAGAGCGGTTAATAATGCAAATAATAATAATAATAGAAATGATGTAAATAAAGTCCATTTGGAGAGGCCGTTGAATAGTGACTTGAAAACAGGTTAGAAAATTCTCGCTGTGTAGTCCTGACATTTTTTTTTATACGACTTAGAATGGCAAACAAGCTGACGGGCCACCTGATGGAAAGTGGTAACCGTCGCCTATACACATGAGCAGTACCATGGACATAACAGAGTATACTGTTTCGCCCATGATACCCCCCATGCGTTGCCACTCCTGAGGACTCAGGTGTTATTCCTCTGTACCCTATAAATTCACGCCATATCCCACCCTTCAAATCGAAACACAGCCATGCAAACACAACTGCTTCACGGTAGAAACACGAATGTGACAGAGGTACCCAAGCAATCGACTTTTGTACAAAGTCTCCCTGTGTTATATGGAATGGGCCACCTCTTCCTTTCTCGTAATTTTCATAAGAGGCGACAAATTTTAATAATCAAGTGACGGCATCACTAAAGTCTAACTGCAGTTGGCAACCTGGCTGCCAAGCGTGGCAAATACTGGCAAAGACCCTCATAAGTAGAGGCTCATATTCAGAAGTGGACAGTTAACGACCGAAATGATGATGATAAATTAAATTTTAATTAATTTATTTATTTTAGATAACTTGGCTCCATTTTTGTTAGTAAATGTACTTAAAAACTATGTTAATACTTAATCACTAATAATGATCTAGTCCTTTCGGCGAGCATTCTCACGAGAGGACTATCCAATTTATTAACAAACATGTTCAGGATACTGTTGCTACTCCCGCGTATTCGACGTAAAAACTAAGCTGTATTTTTACGCCAGACCGCGTCAAAACTATCTGTGCGAGCGTCGGCAAACATCGCTGAGGCGCTACAGAAGCGCGGGAGTCGTAAAGCAACATTCTTTTTGAACTAAGTACAGTTTCAATTAAGTGAATTAGACACTAATTCGACACTGAATTTTTGACTTCAATATCGGTACTGACTTTAAAAAGTATTTTCGAAAACAGTACACTGATTTTTTTTTTCCATTTATTTGGGAAAACTAACAGTGACAAAATAAAGAATAATACATAATATTGGTCAAAGAAAACATTGAATAAATATGCCACCAACACCGTTTGATTCTGATTTCATAAAAACAATAACATACTTCACCTTCTATTATCTTCTTTAGTTTTCTTTCAACTTCTCAAGGGTTGTAAGAGATTCCTCTACGAGATAAGTACACCATTGTATTTTTAAATTTGATGCAATATTTTTTATGAGATACCGGAACAAACATACAGGCAGACAGACAAAATTTCTAAAAAAATATTGTCTTAACATCTATTGGTATTATTAACATTCCTAATATTATTTTTCCTTAAAGATCTTCCATGTACAGACATCTAGAAGTTACAATTTTATTATACTTGTATTAAATAAGATTCTCGGAGGTCCATGCCATAATTTTGCTAAAAAATATTTGAAAATGGTAATCAGGATTTCAGAATCGAGATTTTTACTCCATCGCCATAAAGAACACACACATTTAAATGTGTAAGTCGTTTATTAAACGATCATGCTTTATTTACAGATCGATCTTTTAAGAAAATCAACGAAGCCCATAATGACAAGAACGATTCGTCGGACGTTTCCAAGAAATCCGAAAATAATAAACCGGAAAAAGTGATATCTGTACAAAAGAGGCCAATAATAAACACAGTAATATGCAAAAATGATGCAACCAAAGTATACAAGGCGGTGACATTCGCCGAGCATAGGAAAAGACAAAAGTTACAGCCAATACAAATCAATATTCCAAACGACGCATCCAAAAAGTCCAGAACTAAAATAGAACTTCCGAAGAATCAGACGAAAACAACTCTAAGTAGGATTAGTGTACAAGAAAAACCCATAAGCAGAAAACCTAACCATAAAAAACGGGAGAGGAAATTCAAAAACGCACAGTCGCCGGATCCTTCGTTGAGAAACCATTCGCCGCCGACAGAGGTCGCTAAATGGGCGCCAAATTGTATAAATAGCCACACTAAACAATACTATGAGGCGTGGGTTGACACAACATTGGCAGCTGTAATGAAACGATCCGAAAAAGACAAACTGTTTTTGGAAAAACAACGCTTTCTTGAGACATTCCAGAGGGCGTTAGCAGAAAGACCAATAACTCCAGATTTGATTTACGAAAATCTAACTGATGAAAGGTATATAGGAAGAATTAGAGTAAGACAGAAGTAGCATACCGTATTTTGTACCGTTTCGTAATTCTAGAAAGAAGAAAGCATTTAACATTTGCAGTCTAGCCTCCTTATTTATAAAACATCAAACCTCTCATTAACCTATTTTAGCTACTGAACTGTTTTGTCTCTTTCTTTGACACTAAGTTCCCAATTTGATAGTAAGTGACAAAACAGTGTGATAGATTTATAGAACAAAACATAGAATAGAATAACACTTATATCAAAACTTACAAATTATATTATCAAGAGTCTACGTTACCATCAGTCCCCAAACTATCTTATAATCGCATATGGGGTCAGCTAAGCCATTGCACGTCGACCCATCGGGATCTTTTGTGCTTCCCCTTGCCTTATACCATTATTTCAAAGATCCTTTGTGTTACTTTAACTATATCCCGCGGTTTAAGATATCTGTAGTCCCCTGGCTCTGGATAAGCCGTTCCCAGTAGACTCATGCGCATGCTCGTTAACGAATCACAGTTCAGTATCCAAACTACGTCAAACCTGTATCTTGGAGACTTAAAATTTTAGTTTTAAATGAATGAGTATGAATAAAGTTAATTATACTACATTTTAAAGTATTGAACAAAAATTTGCAAATTAATGTGCATGATAGGCACTTAAATCGAGACAAAGCCCTCCAAAGAGTTATCTTTATTCTAACTGCCCTATGGTTCTATTTTTATGGTTTAATTTTATCCGAAGTCTTATTCGTAAATTCTAATATCTTTATAAAACCCCAGGTAATAATAACTTATGCTAAAGAATTTAATATTCAAATTAATTTCAAAGTTATACAAATGTTACTTGGTGACATTGTAAAATTTCGCAAAGCTCTCGATAGAATAAGTATGTCCAATTTTGATATATCAAAAAATGTGTACTTTAACGTTTTGTAAATGGAGTGAAATATTAAATTAGGTAAATATATATTTTGGTTTACAACAAATATTATGTATTTTATATGAAATAGAATGAGCCATGAGAGGAAAAACGTCGATAGGGAGCTCATTTGTTAACTTTTTTTTAACTGACTGCAATAAAATATAATTAAAAATTTTGCCCCACAAGACTTCAGTTGTGAAAAAAACCAGTTATTTTGTCTTAAAAACTAAATTGAGTTTTTTTTTATACAACTTAGAATGGCAAACAAGCTGACGTCCCACCTGATGGAAAGTGGTAACCGTCGCCTACAGACATGAGCAGTACCATGGACATAAGAGTACATTGTTTCGCCCATGATACCCCCCATGCGTTGCCATTCCTGAGGACTCAGATGTTCCTCCTTCTGAGATGAGACTCCTCTGTACCCTGTAAATTCATTGCCATATCCCACCCTTCAAACCGAAACACAGCCATGCAAACACAACTGCTTCACGGTAGAAACACGAATGGGACAGAAGTACTCAAACAATCGACTTTTGTACAAAGTCTCCCTCTGGTGAATAATATAAATAAAACATCATTTTTCCAAAAAAATTGTCTTTTATTATGATTATAACAAAATGAACTTAATTTACAAAATCAACTACAACAAAATTTTATATCGACACCAATTATTGTAAACTACTAACAACAAGACAAGTTATGAAAATATTGAATTTAATGATGTAACAAATTGGTTCGCGAGGAATACTGCGGGTCTACCATAAAATGAAATTCCGAAATTTCGGACTCAATTTCGTGTTTTTGTTTATACCAAAATCGGACCAATAAATGGAGTTTAACATTTCGTTCGTCATACATACTATCATAAAAGTCCAAAGGAACAATATTTTAACATTTTTAATATTTCCAAACGGCATGTATTATGTAATTTTAACATCAAATTTGTGTTTCGTTTGGCTCCGAAATTTCGGAAAACACTTTATGGTAGGCCCTCTGTTCCCCAAATGGTTAGTTAATTAACCAAGAGGTTTACTGGCAACTACTATTTTAAAGCGTACAGATATATGTAAAATACTATTTAAATTTGCAAATACAAATTTCGTTCAATGCTATAGAGTATTTAATATTAGAATATGGACATAAATCATAAATACCACAGAGTAAGATACCACGCCTATCCCGAACAATTGTCTGACAATTCGGGACGCATTACTCTATTTAGATGTGTGCGTTGGACATCTAGAGTGTTTATTAAACTATGGTAACACGCGCCATTTTTTTCAATCACCTTGAAAATAAGAGTATAAAAGATTAAATTAATGAAAATTATAATCTAAAATCTTAGCAGATTTGAATTGTTAAGTTTCTGCCGTCAAGAACGACTATGGACCTAATAATTAATATTAGGGTAACATATGAGTCCGGAACAAAATAAGACCCCGGGGTGACAGACTCTGGAGTGACACAAGACCCTGGGGTAACACGAGACCCCGAGGTGACAGATTCCAGAGTGACACAAGAGCCCGGGGTGACATACTCCGGAGTGACACAAGACCCCGGAGTGACACAAGACCCCAGGGTAACACGGCCCTGGGAGGACACAAGACCCCGGGGTGACACAAGACCCCGAAGTGACAAAAGATCCCGGGGTAACAAAAACCTCCAAAGTGACAAGACGCCGGAGTGACAAGACTCCAGGATGAAAACAAAATTCCGGGGTAACACAAGACTCCGGGGTGACAAAAATCCAGAGTGACACAAGACTCTGGAGTGACAACAACCCGGAGTGACACAAGACCCCGGGGTGACAAAAGACCCCGGGGTGACAAAAACCTCCAAAGTGACAAGACGCTGGAATGACAAGACTCCAGGATGACAACAAAATTCCGGGGTAACACAAGACTCCGGGGTGACAAAACTCCAGAGTGACACAAGACTCTGGAGTGACAACAACCAAGATTGACACAAGACTCCGAAATAATAATCGGAAGAAAATCTGCCACTTTAATTCACTCATAATTATCGAGTGAAAAAAAAAACACCTAGTCATTATAGACTTGAAATCGAAATATATAAAAAGCGAGAAAAATTCCAAAAATACTCGTTAAAATATTAAAAGAATACGCAAGTTATGGCATTAAACGCTATCATCATAATCCTGCTAATGTAAACATATTAAATCCGTTATTATTCGGATTGTTGTAAGACGAACTTTTAACCTTCTCGGTACAGTCAATCACCGCCTATTTCGACACATCAATGACATTTCGCGGCACTCGTACTCGACTTTATTATTCATAATTTTAATCAATCATTGTCCCCATTTGTCAAGCAAGTCGACTGCGCGTATCCACAACAATGTCAATATCAAGTTGTATTAAAGATTTTAATAAATTTTAAAACTTTACCAACAAGAAGGAATCATTTATCAAGAAAAAATGCAGAAATAAAACCTTACATTCCCCTCTCCTGTATACTTAGAAGCCCCACGCTTGTAACTGTAATTTTTTACAAAACAAAGTTGAAATTTATAACGTTCTCTGATATAGTAACATCCGAGACTGTTCGTTTTACTTGAAATTATGGCGATGACCCCAAACTGGGGACAGGACATCGCCGAATAATGAACAGTATTCGCATCCGAGATCAACACTCGGAATGAATTACGATAAGAAAATGCATGGACTGATAGCTTTGCATTTCCTTTTGGATTCTCGCCGAAGCTTTGGAAATCTTTTCTGTAAAGAATAACAGGTTAATCTTCAGGCGATCCCCCATGGAAAGCATCGGAGTTTATTTCTGGTGATATAAACAATATGGGTCATCTGACCTGCTTTCGTCTTCGCTTATCTCATTTTCTATCTCATTTTCACTAATATGCCAACGGATACCCATAGCGAGGGTGAGGTTATAATTCCATATTCATCCATTACAGAAAGCCAATATCAGTCGAATAATACGATATGTATAGATTACAAGTGTACAAATCTTTCAAATCCAAAGTATTACTGTAGTCTAACTATTTATTGTATAACCAGTATTGTAGTTTTTATAAATTTCTATACTAATAATAATATATTATGTATACACGTGTCGTGGCGGCCTTTAATTGAGGCAGCATTTTATAATGTAACCATATTATAATGTATTTTAAGCTCATATAAATGGATGCTTTGTTGGTTGTCCTTAAATAAATAAATAAAAGACAGTTACTTCACTTTCACTCGGGTTAAATGAAGTCATGAATATCAATATTCCAACTTCAATTTGATTTAATTTCAAAATACAATTTCTTAATATGACAACTGATATATAAAGAAATATCTATGATGTGTCATACATCTCGCAAATTCTAAATCATTGGATAATAAAACAAAACTGTATGGACTTTCTATCCAATCCTCACAGACACAAATGTTTAAAAAAAAATTGTAGTTTACAAATTGATATATTTAAAACAGAAAAGCTTTAACTGTGCCACCTGCCACGAGAAATATATATATCAGAGATATACATATATCGATATTTTAAATAAGAAATACCGTCAAATCGTATGTACGACTGACACAATCATATCTGTTGCGTATGTGTAAAAATTGACTTCAACAATTGCCTACCTATTTGATTTGTTTATTTTTTCTGCTTTTCCTTTAACAATTGTCGAATACTACGCTATAAGGAGAAAGAGAACTGCATCATTGCTACACAGAGTTAGGACAAGCACCGACAGCATTCTAAAAGTAATAGGCGAGAAATATAACTCGCCTATAATTGGACATTTCATTCAGATGCTGTTCTAGTCGGCTGGCTCACAACAGAGTGAACTGCTTTAATTAATTTGCTTTTCTTTTTTACTAACATAGTTTGTAAGAAAACTGTTACTAACAAAATGGACCAAATTGTAGTTTGGAAAAAAATTATATTATTATTATTATAATCTACGAAATTAATATAGAAAAACCTGTTATTGGCCATACTAATTTGTTAAGTTTGTTAATTTTATTTGTAAACCGCTGTTGGTTTTTTAATATTAATAAATAAACAATAAAAACAACTTTGACACAATAAAAGATCAGAAGAATCTTCCCATAATGATGGCTGATTTATCAGTCACCAGAACCACCAGTCAGCAGAATACTGGTTCTTCAGAACCAGCAATAGGACAACTAGTTTACATCAGCTGTGTGAGTTTTTCCGACTTTCTTCAAGTGGATGAGAATGTTGCTGTCTCAGGTTCACTAACCGATTGGCGACCATACTTCAGAACCTTTGGCAGAGGTGTGACTTAAGGAAGCAAGATCCTCATTCGACACCTTACAAAGCTTTTATATACAAAACGAAAGTGATAAAAAAAGCTTTTCAAGAACTTTTAATTCTTAAAAAAAGTTATTACAATGTATTTTAAAGCAAACCAATATAACAGAATTCTTTTGGAAAGATTAATTCACATTATTAATGTGTACACGTATATATGTACCTTTTATCTTTTGTCATTGTCAAAGAATAGTAATTAAAAAATTGTAATTGATTATCTGTTGATTCGAAGTTTTATTTCTCTATTAAAAATTTCGAACAATTTGATATGAAATATCACACTCGATAATTCGTAACATTTTAAGAGTCTCCGAGTTTCGAATTAACGAGAGTCGACTGGTCACGCAGGGTACAATAGGACTGATATACCTGAAGAAGGTAAAAGCAAAATATCCTGTCACACGGACACGAAACATCCTCTGTCATGTGGACACGAAATATCCTGTCACACGGACACGAAACATCCTCTGTTATATGGACACGAAATATCCTGTCACACGGACACGAAACATCCTCTGTCATATGGACACGAAATATCCTGTCACACGGACACGAAACATCCTCTGTCATATGGACACGAAATATCCTGTCACACGGACACGAAACATCCTGTCATATGGACACGAAATATCCTTCGTCATATAGATACGAAACATTATCTGTCACCAGATCTTGAAATATCGCTAATCATCACAGGGCACAGCTTTTCACCTGTACAAAAAAACGCCATGTTATCAAAACAGAAAATTCGGTCATTTGACCTTAAAACTTCAAAAATGTGCTTTCAAATTATAAATAACATACATACTGTATAAATAAATCAAGTCAAACGTTGACACATCTCAAATTACACATTGAGTAATTAACGACTCAATTACTCGAGGTCTAACCAGCAAAATATATAATCTTATCCCTTTATGGGATAAGTCCGCCATTATATATTAAATCATTTATCAGTGTTCAATGTGAATTATGTACTATACAAATGTTACAATACAATACAATACAATACAATACAAAATGGAACAATAAATATGGGCTGATAGCAAAAACTAACAACGCCATTAAAGTCCCATAAATCGTGTATCAGCCAATGCTGAGACTATGCTTGGAATACAATGCCTTAGCTTGAAATGGTAAACTTGATTCCCTATATAGTCAAAAGGTAGGTAAATTATAAATTTCGCCCCAACTGATAAAAATGAAATCTCGAGACATAATGTGGGCTAAATGGAAATTGTTAGATGTTGCGACCTCTTCGCGGACCTCAGAGGGTCGCGACCCAAACATTGGAAAACACTGCTCTCAACAATAAAGGGAAGAATTCAATAAGAGGTTCGACATATAATATTGGATAAAGGAGACCTCTACATAATACCGCCCTAAATAATAAGGGATCTCCTAAGTAATAAATTGTTCCCTACATAATAAGGGGACCTCCTACATAAGGGGCCTTGCACAATAAGGGGATCCATGCATAAGGGGAACCCTGCATAAGGGGACCCTGCATAATAATGGGACCCTGCATAATAATGGGACCCTGCATAATAATGGGACCCTGCATAATAATGGGACCCTGCATAATAATGGGACCCTGCATAATAATGGGACCCTTGCATAATAAGGAGGTTCCCACATAATAACCTCCTACACAATAATGTGGGACCTCTACATAATAATGTGTCCCCTAAAAACACGAAATTCCCCATTGAATAAGTGGTAAATGAAAAGAGGAGAAAATACAACCTTTTTTAATAACGGAAAAAAAAGTAAAGTACTTAACATAGGGAGCGGTAAACCGCTAGAGTTTACGCCTTCGGCGGGAAACCATGTTCGAAAGAACACTTTATGATTTTTGAAGAAACAGTAAAAATTAACAAAAATAAATACTGACACTAGATGATCGTGTATGACACTAGTTGTTTACATCCATGTGACGTCACTGACGCCATATTGGTAAAAATTTGCGTCTTTTGCTATTTTTTGAAGAAATACTTATGAGATTTAAAAAAAAATTTGGGGGGCTCTATAAACACCACTAAACATTACGATATGATTTCCAGAAATGGGTCAAATAGCCTATTTTGAATTAAATATATTACAAATTTAGTTCATTATGGTCCTTTACGGATAAAGGTTTTGAGGTAAGAACAAATTCAAATTTTAACTAAATGTAGTTTTACAGAAATGTCGCCCTTGAATCGACCCCAGTATATACCCAAGACATAATTCTATAATATACTATTCTAAACATAAAATGTCAAATGAATTAGCAATTAGCCATTTGTCACTTTCTGTCGAATCAACAATTTAACTTGTGAGAAAGAGACGTTATATGTTATGTATTCTACAGTAACAATTCCTTTACATTTTTTTACATTAAGTCTTTAAGCACAAAACATACCGAAGGTATTTAATTTTTTGTCATCTTTTATATACATATATATATAAAAGATGACAAAAATATATATATATATATATATATATATATATATATATATATATATATATATATATATATATATATATATATACATTATCATTGTCCGTTAGCGCTCTCTAATGTATATTGTGGCTTTACAATAGATAGAATTTACACTGCATTTGAAACAACTTTTACAGTGGAAAATCAATTCTTAATTAGATTCACCTTAAAACTAAACTCTCTGTTATGATTTAAATCTTAAACCTAGATATATAACAGATTTCAATCGACGCTAATGATATAGCATCTTTCTAATAGAATGTTCTACTGATAAAACTATATTTCTGTCAAAGAAAACGAAAGGTAGAAGTACGAAAATATATAGCTTTCCATACTAACTAGGCATGGGCAATACATGGATACCGATCCGAGACGAATATCTATATATAGGGTTTCTCTGGACATTGATGACGGAAAAAAGGTCATCACCCATTTTGAAAGCGAATCCTATTATGATACGTCAGTATTAAAAAAAAGGTGGGTAATATATTTTTTTTACACAACTTAGAATGGCAAACAAGCTGACGGTCCACCTGATGGAAAGTGGTAACTGTCGCCTATAGACATGAGCAGTAACGTGGACATAACAGAGTATACTGTTTCGTCCATGATACCCCCATGCGTTGCCATTCCTGAGGACTCAGGTGTTATTCCTCTGTACCCTGTAAATTCACGCCATATCCCACCCTTCAAACCGAAACACAGCCATGCAAACACAACTGCGTCACGGTTGAAACACGATTATATTAGCCTATTCACGTGATATATTAACCCTTTGCACTCCGTTGTCTTCGTATTTGCGACATTAAAATGCTAACATTAAATCCACTGTCGCGGCTATAACGACACGCTTGTTTTACTAACTCGGCGACCTTTATAAAATAGCTAAGAAATAAATGTTTTGTTTTATTGCAACGAGTCCATTTTTCTTTTAAATCACAGGCCCTCTAGACAAGTGGCAAGCGAATTCGTCGATAGGATCGACATCGGTAGCGAGTCCGTGAGATAGAATGAGATAGCAACGCCGGGTGTCTCATTCTAACTCACGGACTTGCTAGCGAAGTCGATTACATCGACGAATTCGCTTGCCACTTGTCTAGAGGCCCTGTGATGTACTTATAATTAATGGTAAATATAATCTCATCATTTATACATGCATTAAACATTTCCGAACGCAATATCCTTCTACCCTCCTCACCTATCCATATTCCCTATCAAATCTGGGATCACATTGGGGGGTAGATGGACAAAATCAGTCTATAATCCAACTGCGCGTCGAGCTGGTCAAGCTCCGCTAAGATCACGAATAAATCTCCGCCAGTTGCGAATTATTCATTCAGCCGCGATCTCCGCGCAACATACAGTGACACCTTATGTCAATAAACAAAAGTGTTGAATAATTTGAAGAGAGAACGAGAACGCGTACAAAAGACCTACACGCGGGGACTAAGTGAACCAGGTTTGTCCTTTATCCTTCTTTTTATCCAACAACTAATATAGTGCTGGAATTATTGGTATCCTCTATGACTTATTAAGCTGGAGTGCAAAGGGACAATGTCGGTTATCCAATCGAAATTAATATAAATATCCGACCGATATGAACACTACTGACTGAGTATAGGTGGTGACCTTTCCTCCACCATCAATGTTCAGAGGAAACCAATATATCGCGTCATAGTCGAATAAGAGAATACTGACGGATCTGACAAAGATTACATATAAAGATCCGTCGGTATTCTACGACTATGACGATATAAATATCGGAGAGATACTAATACCCAATATATAGATATTACATGTGCCTAGTTTATAACTCCCCAGTTTTAACTTATATATTAAGGTTATCCCAGCAATTATACTTAGTCACCCTTCATAGCGGCTAACAGTTCTGGCACTTCGATGATGTACAGTCCGGGTTCTTGCTTGAGGCAGCGCGAGACTCGTAACAGTCCGCGGCCTTCGTCGTTAATCTTCATATGTACGACCGCTCGGGCCAACATATCCGGTGTGGGGTCTTTGGGGAAATCTGTCGAGGTAGAATCGTAGAGAGGTACAGTATGTTTTTTTTTTATATACAACTTACAATGGCAAACAAGCTGACAGCCCACCTGATGGAAAGCTGTAACCGTCACCTATAGACATGAGCAGTATCATGAACATGACAGAGTATACTGTTTCGCCCATGATACCCCCCATGCGTTGCCATTCTTGAGGACTCAGGTGTTATTCCTCTGTACCCTGTAAATTCACGCCATATCCCATCCTTCAAACCGAAACACAGCCATGCAAACACAACTGTTTTACGATTGAAACACGAATGGGACGTAGATATATCTCGCTGGAGGTGTGCGTATATAGCAACAGCTGAGGCGGCTCCAGCAACCAGCAAAATGAATTGTTTTTTTTTTCTTTTTATTGTTGATTTTTTTGTAATTTTATTAGTGGTAACAAAGATTATCTATCTATATATCTTTATATATTATGTAATTTCTTCCATTTTCAAGGGATGATGTATGTAAGAGGGATGTATGATTCCAAGTAGTATAAAGAAAAAAAAAACCTATATACCGCTGATTTTCAGGCGGCCCCTTAACTCCCTTAACTTTAGCATGCGTGCATATATATAAGTAGTATGATCACCTTTGATCTCGAGATGCGACGCGACCGCCGGGTGTCCGCGGACAAATTCCGGCAGCATCTTGCGTATAGACATGACAGGTACGAAACCGACGTTTCCGTAGTCCACGTAGCACACTTTAGCATCCGCCTCGCCGGGTATGTGCTCCAGCAGCACCGCGCGGAACCACTGCGGATCTATCACAGAGGTTACAAAATTCTATTAATATTATAATTACGTAAATTTGTAAGGAAGAATGGATGCATGATTCTTACTCTTTCACACATAAACTACTAAATACATTACAATGAAATTTGATATTCTTATTTATATGTATTTATTCGTTTATATATGTAATTTTAATATGTATGTATATCAATACTAATAAAGTCTACGAATATCTTTGGAAAAAACTGTGAAAGCAATTCACCTTCATCATCATCACTTTGATCTCTATAGTTGTTTATTTGTGTTATCGTATATAATCTATAAGTAGGTATATTTATATATGTATATTTATATTTGTATATATGTATTTTTATTACATATTTGTATATTTATTTAATATTTGTTTAATATATTCATGTATGTATATTTATATAATCTCTATTGTATGTGTTGTAATTTTTTTTCACCGCATATTAAAATTTCTGTTTAGCCAAAGGTTGACTGCGAGAGAATGCTATATAGTATTAAGTCCGCCTTTTGTACCGGACATTTTTTTTGTAATGTGGTCAATAAAGCATAAATAAATAAATAAATAAAATAATTACTAGTACCGCATTCGAGTATTCTGCCACCCATAAAAAAAACCCTTTCTTTTCCGTGGGTAGTAAGGGAAAAGAAGGGGTGGACTATTCTATGCTGGGACCACACGGGAATGTTGCTATATTTAAAAAACACTTACAGGGCGGGAACTTGGCGATGCAGAGCTCGTCGTGTTTCGGCAAGTACGGCTGCTTGCCGATGTCACTCTTGCAGTAATCTGCCATCTGTTAACAGAAATGTTATTAATGGCAACACAAGCTGGCAGCTCACATGATGGTAAGTAGTAACATATATTATGACCATGGGTGCCTCATATTTTGCCTTTTCTGAGAACTAAGATGTTTTTTTTTTTAATTAATGATATTGGGACAGTAACCCCGCTTGCACTAAGGGTGTAGCCATTACCACACTGTGAATCCATTGGCATATTTATAATTATTTTACATAAGGATCTTGACCTCTTAAAAAAAGGTCTGTTTGGATACTTCATTATGAATTATTTATTTATTTATTGTATATAACCGATAACTAACTATGAATCTCTGAACTGAAGCCTCACCGTACTGGTTACGCTTCAAACTCTTTCCTCCTACATTCTTCACGACTGTGGAACACGCTTCCAGATGCCATTAAGACTACCGACTAAACCGTCTTTAAAAAAAAGCGTTCACACTCACTTTTTACCTTTATCCGAGCAGTAAGTGCTTTATATTATTCTCAATTTCGTGTATAATATAGTATACGTCATATATGTGTAAGTATATTTGTTATTCATATATATTTATTCGTTTATATATGTAATTTTAGTATGTATGTATATCAATAATTACTAGTACCGCATTCGAGTATTCTGACACTTGCCTACGGTTGATTGGGAGAGAGTGCTTTTAGCATTAAGTCCGCCATGCACACATATATGTACTAATGAATAAATAAATAAATATAAATAAAAATATACGTGATATTTGTAACGTAATGAAATATATATAAGTTTTTTTATAATTATATGATAATGGAATGGGAACCCCGCCTGCAATAACGGTATACGCTGGCGGGACACCAATAAGGGATGATAGGTGAGAATGAAAAGGCAGGTCAGTTAACCCATCGTGATGAATACACCTAGAATTCAGCATGATCGTTTCCAGAGGGATCATAGGGAGGTGAATAAATAAATAAACAAGAAGGCATACCCTGTCAGTGAGTCGTTCCAGCATGGCGTGATCGATGCAACGCTCGCACCCCGAGAGGGTGCCGGCTTCCAACGCGCTCACATCCAGGATCTCCATCTCGCAGTCCCTGGGCGGCAGCTCCAGGTACTCCAAGTCTGCGTACATCACCGGCTCCGTATCTGCATTTAAAGAAAATTATAAATAAATATAAGTAGTGATCACTGTGCGGTCCCGGTATAAAATAGACAACTTCTTCCTTTCCAGGGGGAAAGGGATTGTTAGTAATGGAGGCTGAGAGTCCCATTGCTAGCAATATACCCAACCAGGTCGACTTACGCGATTCTCCCTGGAAACTATTATTGTTAATTCCTGATGAATTCATCATGATGGGCTAACTGGCCTGTTTTCATTCTCATCGATCATCCTTCACTGGTGCCCCGCCAGCGTATCCCATTAGCGCAGGCGGGGTTACCATTCCATTTTCATCCAATAAAAAAAATTCAAATGATTGGTTATTTTATATGTCATTCTTTAGATTGATATAACTTTTTTATTTATGAACCGATTGAAACAAAACAAACACTAAATGTTAAGTGATGAAAACTGCAACACATTAGGGAAACCACATTCAAATCGGTAAAACCGTTTCTGAGAGTAGCGCGCACAAGCATACAGACAAACAGACAAAAATTCTAAAAATCATTGTTTCTAGTTCTATTGCATTCATAAAGCCCCTATAATAGTTTTTTATAATAGTTTTTTATGTCTTCCGTGTACAGACAGCGACCTATATATATATATATAGCTGTGAAATAATTAATGTATAGACTAAAGAGAAATAGATAGTAAAATAGAATAAATAAAGAGAGTATAGACTAACCGATAACATCACCACCCTTGATCTCCAACTTCTTCCATTCGGGAGTAGATAGCTCCTCGATCCGCTTGTTCACCGACTGGTTAGTTTTCACCACCGTCAGGGTCACCGGGCTACCACTCGGCGCTGTCTTATCACCAGACGGTATCGTCTGAAAATTAATATTTTTTTTTATACAACTTAGAATGGCAAACAAGCTGACGGCCCGCCTGATGGAAAGTGATAACCGTCGCCTATAGACATGAGCAGTACCATGCACATAACAGAGTACACTGTTTCGCCCATGATACCCCCCATGCGTTGCCATTCCTGAGGACTCAGATGTTCCTCCTTCTGAGATGAGACTCCTCTGTACCCTGTAAATTCATTGCCATATTCCACCCTTCAAACCGAAACACAGCCATGCAAACACAACTGCTTCATGGTAGAAACAGGAATGGGACAGAGGTCCCCTTTTGCCAAACAACTTTTGTACAGAGTCTCCCTATGGTCAATATAATATATACCGAAAGATTATAAATAATATATTATTTATGTTAGCATTCCTATTATCATATGTGAAAAACGAATTCTCTTGAGAGATCTTTCTCACCAGCAACAATTCAGCATTGGAGTCCTTCAGTTTGTCAATGTACTCAGTGGCCAAAGCGGTTAATGCAGTACCAGAAGTTAAAGGTAACGTGACCAGGGAAGCCAGGGTCGGTTCTGCAGACATCTCGTAGTCCGCCGGACACGGGTACAACTTCTCTAGTGTTGAAATTTCCACGTTGCCTGTACAAGAATAAGTGTTGTTATAATACTTTGCATATCTAGTAAACCTTTTTCCCAACCTTTTTTTGTGTCATGTCCCACTTGAACATTTCTAAAATTTTTATGCCCCCATACATAATTTTTCCCGACAAAGTTTACTTGACGACTCTAATCGCCCTGTTGATATTTTGGTAACGTCAAACGAAATTTTACCTAATAAATATTTAATACACTTTTATTGTTAAATTTGGCACCGATATCTACTCATAGCATTGCAATGGCTCGAAGGAAGAGGGTTAAAATCGCTTCGAGTCCATTTTAAATTGCCCCCCCCCCCCTTAACTATTAAATTGCCCCCCTGTGGGGCGTAGGCCCACGTTGGGAAACACCGTAGTAATATTACAATTTGCCCCTTACACTTAGAAATGGGGCTTTTCAAAAAAGTACCCAAAAACAATAAACAAAGGTTGGCAACACTGATAACTCCCCACCATATTGCAAGTGTTCATGGCGACAGTAGCTAATTCCAAACAAGTGAACAGTCTGTTCGTTTGCCTTTCTAACATTAAAAACAAATTGGTCGACAGACGGGCCTGATGAAAAGTGGTAACCGTCGCTTAAACTTCTAATATAGCCTCTTGGAAAATCCTCGACAGGGAGGGAGATCAATTTTTAAACTGTTTCACCAAGATTTACTTTTTGAAAAGTACGTTTTAAATCTAATATTCTAATATATGGACTTGTTGATTCACCCGTTTTATTACTAGATATATCTCTATATTTAGAATTAAAAGAATTTTTCATCGTGCCTCCCACCAAATTGTTTATAATTACTCCTCTCCATCCAAAGGTTGCCTGCAAGAGATCGCTCTTAGCGATAAGGTCGCCCATTGTTCTCTCATTGTGATTATTTCTTGTAATTGTTTATATTTATAATAAGTTTACTATTGTAATCTTTTGGAGGAAACAATGAAGAATATCTATCTATATATGTTCTGAGAGTAATAAAGTACTTATTTCCTCACTAACCAAAATCAATGTACTCCAGCAGGTATTTATTCTGTTTGACGTTGGTCCGCTTGCAGAGGGCGCGGTAGTACAGCCCGTCCGTGTACTGTCCGATCACCGTCTGGCCCTGGCGAGGCGGCTCCGTCAGTGGACTTGCTGTTAACAATGAGTAATAAGATTTTATTAATTACTATATTAATAAATTATATGTATTTAATATTTTTGTACAATATATCTTATACATGGATATCAAGAATAAGCAAGCTGAAGTGGCAATGGGCTCGTCACATAGCTCGAAGAACCGACAACCGATGAGGAAGAAAGGTTCCTGAGTGGCGATCACGTACAGGTAAATACAGTGTAGGATGACCCTCCACCAGAGGGGGACCTACCACCCAGATACCCACTTCTACTTGTTCTGCTTTAATCAAAGATTGTCTGTAAAAGATTACAACTTAGCATTAGGATAGCCTTTTGTACCTTTATGTATATATTTTGACCTGTATGTATTTTTCGCTACTATATTTCATTTGAACTGTTTAATTGTTATTGTATATGTTTATTTATGTTTCTGGTACAATAAAGAGCTAAATAAATAAATATTAAATTTAAAAGTTATGTTCATTTTTTAATAAGGGGACAGATTCTGGGGACCATTTTCCATGTCTATACGTGGCCTATTCTATGCCGGGAACACACGGCCAAAAAAAAATATAATAATAATAAATTATTATAAATCTTCTATGGGAAAAATATGAAAGTGTTTTCTTTTAAATAAAAAAAAATCCAAATCAATTTATAAATGACAAAATTCAGAGATCAATTAACATAAAAAAATACAATGGGATTGAAAACCTACTTTTTAAAGTCGGTTGAAATGTTTATCTAAATAAATAAATAAACTCAAAAATTATAACACTAATTTATATAGCTATCAATTGTAATTTATTACTTATTATTTATATCACATTAATGATAAATACACTTTACATAAAAATCCTTTTCTCAAACATGCTTGGAAATGTGAGCATTATTTTGACAGTCTTCTTCGAGATAAATCAAAATTGCCGTACTGGCCAAATACATGTGGGCAGCGGCCGGTAAAAGTTGTATGAAAATCCATATCTGACGTATTTTGCAGCCAGATAAATTACAATGTAATATCTGTCCTGTAATTTAAAAATGGAATAACCTTTTACTTCGAAACATGACTACCAAGAAGGTAACTAATACAAGGTATTATTTAAATTTCGAACTGACTTGCAAATAGACAGCTGTTTATTGAAAAAAAAAAAAAAAAAATGAACATTATGGCGCGTGAAAAATTATTATTGTTCGTTATTCGTCATTGAATTTAAAAAGTAATATTGTGTTTTTGATTTCCGCGCATTGTCTGAGAAAAGTACTTATACAAGCCTTGGCCACAACTAGGTATTGATGAACTCACGTATGTGTGCCTCGGCTACGCCTCGACCTACATTTGCACGTTCATTCATCAATACCTCAGTTGCTGGCCGCTGCAGTAATATACTATATTATTATTAAAAAACGGCCTTTTTCAAGCAGAAACACTTGTGACCTTTCCATGACATATTGCCGTGCTCACCCTATTTTAAAAATTCGCTGCTAACTCCTATTAGAAATTTAAAATATTCTTTGTAGCGATGTTTTTTTTATCTCCTCAGAATATGAAGTATATTATGCAAAGGAGAGAAAGAGATACAAACTACTTAGCCACTTTCTCTTTCTGGTTCTCAAAGGTGACTGGAGGAGATTCCTTCAAGGGATAAGTCCACCAGTTTACCTTGTCATTTTATTATAACGTGATATCTATATTAAATTTAAACATACAATATACTTACACAATTGTATCGTTGTGTTTGTAAATTGTCTTGCTTATTTCCTATATTGTATAATGCAAATAAAGTATACTCATTCATTCATACAATAAAGTTCATACAACAAAACTCACCGTTGGCGGCCGCCACCACAACGTTAGCTAACAGATCGTCGAAGCACCGCACCGCGGTCGGGTCGGCCGGTCGTACAAACACGCGATCACACGCCGTCATATCCACCAGTAGCACCTTGCTGTTGTTCGCCACAGGAGGCCGGACCACCTCGGGGATTGGGGCTTTTTGCACTATCAGGTAACAGATAAACAAATATTTAAAAACGCTTCATCAGGAAATCTTAAATTATAATAATAATAATAATAATACTTTATTATGCAGACTACAATGCGGTCCAATTTTGTTAGTAACAATTTTCTTACAAACTATGTTAGTAAAAAAAAAATAAAAACAAATTGATTTAATTAAGCATTTCACCCAGATGTGACCCAGCCGACTAGATCAGCATCTGAATGAAATGCCCAATTATAGGCGAGTTATATTTCTCGCCTATTATATATAGGTTAAATTTTTATAAAAGATATATTTTCTATCCGACAAACTTATCTATACTTATAATAAATCTGTAGAGAGGTCAATTCTGTACATGAAATATATTTCCAAAATAACTATCAGGGGGTGATTAGTGATCGATACTGATGCCAAAAATGCAATCAGTAAAATTTTTGTCTGTCTATCTGTATGTTCGTTATAGAAACAAAAAATACTCGACAGATTTTAACGAAACTTGGTCCAATTATTCTTCATACTCCTGGGCAGGTTATAGTATACTTTTCATCACGCTACGGTCAATAGGAGCAGAGCAGTAAAGACAAATGTTAAAAATGTCCACCCGTGCAACGCCGGGACGGGCCGCTAGTCCAATATATATTTTTTTTTTACACCACTGAGGTGGCAAACAAGCCTACACTACACAGCCCACCTGATTGTAAGCAGTTTAATATATAAAAAAGCATGTCAATATAATTGTTCAAGCTTATCGCCAAAACAGTTCAATCAATTCTATAAATTGCCAATTTGTCTGCTCCAACTTGAAAAATAGAATACTAATGATGATAAGAAAAAAATTGGACTCGGTAGGGGGCCTAGATGTTGTTAAATTAAACTTACCAGTGGCAGGATATTCAATATCGGGCACCCAGCGGAACACCTCGCCCTCGCCGACCGCCATGTTAGTATCGATATTCTGGATGAGCACTTTGAATCCGTCGTTAAATTTGGACAGAATCTTGCACGATAAGTTCTCACCCACCTGTGTCGAGTTAATACAATTTTATTAATATACCATTTTCCTAATTTGCCGTTTGGTTCAAATAGAATCATAGAGTCACGCCTTCCTTTCTCGTCGCTGTCGTAAGAGGTGACTAATTGAACTAAATACTCGAAAGATGGACGATAGGATCCCTCTTGAAACATCACCAATTCATAACTGCGGTTGCCATTCCGCCCGCCGAGTGTGGCAACTATTGGCAACTATTTGTACTATGGATATTACAAAATTCATATTATACACAGAAAATAACAAGACTACCACAAAAAAAAATTGTCAATTGTTAAAAAAAAACAACACCTATTGCTGTTCGACAGCCAATGGCTTCAAAGTAATTGAAAACATGTCAAAATTACGAGTAGTTTTACAGTAAATACCGACCACTTTTGGATGTTACAAGGTAGACGGGCGTTTTTAGTAGAAAATTTAGCAGAAATAAATTTATTGTACAAATCAGATTTCTGTTAAAAAAAACTATTTAATTCTCTCTAACAGTAATTTTTTATTCAAAGTAATTTATTCGCCTAATAAACCTATCAAATTGCCTATGAACCTTCGAAAATATATGGTGAAGAAGCAGTCTGGTATTTTTGGGCATGGCCATGGGCAGCCATATCAATACTTTTTGCCTTGCAATTGTTTAACAATAATTTACACAGTAAGTTATACAAAATGCTCAAACTCAACTAAATAGTAGGACACTGACCTTGACATTGGCACTGAGCAGGCAAGCGAACTCCGGCATGCCGTCGTAGCCGGGCGGCAGCCGCTTGCAGCCGTCGGTCGCCTGCAGCGCCACCACGCGGCACGAGTCGAGCAACGCAGCGCGGTCGGTGGCCAGCAGGCGGGCGCGGTACCAACCGCCATCGTCCGGGCTCAAGTAAGAGAACGTCTCGCCCAGTGATGGACTATACAATACAACATGTTACTGGTCACTAGCTGTTCAAACTTCATTGAACAAGGGGGAAGATATTCTTAGTTAGAGGTTGCTATCAATATACCCTATCAGGTCGACCTCCACGCAGTTCCCCTTGGAAACTATCATGACTAATTTATCGTTGAATTCGTCATGAGGGACCAACTTAGCTGCTTTTTCATTTTCACTAATCATTCCTCACTGGTGAACCGCCAGTGTATACCGATAGCACAAGCGGGGTCATCATTCCATTATCATCCATTTAAAAATAACAAAAAACAGAGTATACTGTTTCGCCAATGATACCCCCCCCCCCCATTTCTGAGGACTCAGGTGTTATTCCTCTGTACGATATATGCTTGTTATTCTTTCACATAAAAACTACTAAATGTATTTGAATAAAATTTGGTACACAGATAGGTTATATCCTAACTTAGCATATAGGATATTTAATGTACCATGTTTCTACGGGCAAACCCCTGAGATACAGTTAGTAATACTCACGTAAACGCAACGGTGTCCGCCTCGCACTCAAGGATGTAATCTTCACAGAGTTTCATGTACTGGTCGTTGTACGACTCGTGCATGGAGAGACAGACAAAACCAGGCCGCTTGGTGGCGCAGTCAGCAGCCGCACCCTCCACGGAGAGGAGGAAGGTGTCACCGATTGAGAGCTGCTCTATCAGGTAACTGGGGAGAGGAGAAAGAGAATTGATCTTGAGAAAGATATTAAGATTCTTATACCATTTGAAAAATGGAGAAGAAGGAGAAAATCAGAATTGAGATAATTATGAAGTTGAATCCCCGCCCATTGTTAGCAATCTACCTCTAATTCTATCAGGACGAACTTCACGCGATCCACCCTGGAAACCATCATAGTTAATTCCTGATGACTTCATAATGACGAGCTAACCGAGCTGTTTTCAGTTTTTTATTTACCAAATTTTGAATTAACTAAGTCCAAGGTACAGTATAAAGTATGTACTTACATATTTTTTTTATACAACTTAGAATGGCAAACATGCTGACGGTCCACCTGATGGAAAATGGTAACCGTCGCCTATAGACATTAGCAATACCATGGACATAACAGAGTACACTGTTTCGCCCATGATACCCCCCATACGTTGCCATTCCTGAGGACTCAGGTGTTATTCCTCTGTACCTTGAAAATTCACGCCATATCTACACGCGGGGTCTAAGTGAACCAGGTTTGTCCTTTACCCTTCTTTTATCCAACAGCTATTTTATGATATTTCATAGTATTTCACTATAAAATATTATTATTTCTTTATATTACGACATAATATACTAGATAATAGATGACAAGATTTTATATAAAAAAAAAAGAAATTTTTTAAATTTTGTGTAAAAATTTTCACTGGTTTTCAGGTTAGACAATTATTCCCTATATATTATAATATTTTAATTAGTTTTTGCCGACCTGTCCTTTACACCCTGTATTTGCCCGTAAGCGCGTCGCTTTAAGTCCCAATTGTGAATATAAAAAAAGATAACTTACTTTTTAGGCACCAACGGTTTTTTGCCAGGCGTGACGTCGGTCAAACTACCAGGCGCTTTGGTTGGCTCCTTCGGATTCTTAGTCTGTGGCACATTACTGGTCGTATTCTTGACCAGGTTGGTGGGTTCTTGTGTTTTCGGTGATTCAACCTCTTTCGCTTTCAACTGGACGTTGGAGTGGCTTTTCGGCGAGTTCGGTGCATTCTTTGGCGATGGGGCGAGCTTGACATCTTTGGACTCTGGTTTGGTAACTAAAATGTAAAATAAATTATTAAGACGCTGTCTATCAAATCTGGATTTGTCCCACTACTGGGTTGTGCCATAAGGAACTTTTTTCACACTATGGGAAATGACAGAGTAGAGGAAATTGTTAGCTATAGATATTATCAGTCAGCTTGCTAGCAATATACATCATGATGTCGATCGTCACACTGTCCAAAGCCAAATTTAGCATTATATTCGTCAAGATGGGCTAACCGACCTGCCTTTTCATTTTCACCTATCCTTTCTCACTGGTGCCCTGCCAGCGTACTCTCTTAACGCAGGTTGGGTTACTATTCCATTATCATCCATTAAAAAAACACTAGATTACATCTATGAGGTCACTGTGAGACTTTCACAGAAAAACAGCACTGTTTGAATTATGCTGAGTTCGGACCATGTAACTAATTGTTACACATTATTGTCCGGACTTGACGCCATGAATTTTTTTGCAGGTAAATAGTACCTACATACCTGCTTCTTTATTATCAACATTTATAGTATATTTAAATACGTGTAAGCAACACGAAAGTTTAAAATTAACTAATAAAAATGATTTATTTTTATTTTAAATACACAATCGGGTCGTGATAAAAAAAAAAAAGACTTCGCGAGCTGCCAGACGAAGACGCCGCTCACCTGTCACTGACAGTCCTGTCGTGACCACGACGTGGTGTAATCCACGTCGAAACATCGACAATAAAGCAGGTATGTCGGTACTATATATAAAGGAAAAAAATGTGTATACAACAATGATACTCACACGCCCCCTTGTCCCAGTTTTCGTCTTCTTGCGAATTCTGCTTCTGCGGCCGCCTGTCGTTGCTCGCTCTGTTTCTGTTGTAATTGTTCGTGTTATTGTAGCGTCCGCCGCCGCCAGTGTTGCCGCGGTTGTTGTTCTGATTGCTATTGCGTGCCGTTTGCCTGGACATATTCTGGCCGGGCGGGTTGAATACCTACAAACAAAAAAAACATAAACGATATATTACTCGTGAGTATGTGTTAAAATTAGGGGAAAAATGTAACCAAACTGTACTGGAATCAATATCAATAGGAGCGGCCAGTAACTACGTGCGAGCACGTCGACGGCACTTATTCGATGTTCCATTACGAAGAACAGAGTTCGCTAAGCAGGCTCCCTGTTACGGCTTTGTGTCGTGCATCTCGCTCACACATTCCAGCGCGTTGTCTGTGACAGCTGCCACCGTTTATAGTTTTAATTGTCAGTACAATTACGATCGTCCTACTGTATAGCCACCCAGGCAAAATTAAGTATCTTACTGCCCATTTGGACCTTCATCGTCGGATATCATCATAAATCATCATTATTCATCGGCCCGTCTTGCTACAAGAACCTACGTGTTGCCGAGTAACCAGTACCAGTTCATGCAGATCAAAGGAATACTTTGCGCCTGGACAGCATAACATTATTACGAAGAGGACGGTCATCATCAATAAATCAGTACTCATCATCATCAATAAATAATCAAGTTCAAGCAAAGTCAATACATATAAAGGACTGATACCAATACGTGAGCTAAGTAACAGAGTGTACAGTGAGTTTGTTCCAATTGCCTACTACCCACCCGTATCCATTTTATCACTAAGATTTGAATAAATTACTTTATTTCCTTACTTTAAATAAGTGAATTCCAACTACTTTCTTTAATTATTTAATATTTTTAGACAAGTTATCATTACCTACCCTACACTTTTAGGTTTAATAGATTTCTTTACTCAACGATACGATTGTCATTATATACATTATATATATAATTCAGTATCTCATTTTAAGTAAATCTTTCATCGTAATTTAAGTAAATATCGTAATATAACTATTTCATTGAATATTTTTAATATCATAATAATTCTTCAGTGTCATTAGTGTTTGGAGTTGCCTCGTATGTATTAAAATTCGAATAGGCAATCTATACTTAATACCTATTTGTGTTTAACAGTTTTGCTAATTCCAGCAGTGTTACATCGGAGAAATCGTTGAGCTAGCGGAGCGTACTAGGTGCCCGGGCGCATAATTCGTGCCCTGTCACGACCCGCATTTGCTGACTTTATAAAATATAAGTATACCGTCTTACTTAAATTTATTTCTTTCGATTTGTGCCTATACCACTTAACTATTTCTAATATAAACATAGTGATTTGAACTTGAAATTTGCTTTAGATTTTACCTAAAATAATACAAAATGGATTTAAAATCTTTAATTAAAAAGCGTGGTAGTTACAAAGCTAGACTTACGCAATTCTCTTCATATCTAAATGTAAATCAATCATGTGAATCACTTTCTAGTTTACAAATTAATGAGCTCAACATAAGATTATCAAAAATTGAGGAACTTTATTCAGATTTTGATTGTACGCAAATTGAAATAGAAAATTTATCTGAAATTCCAGACGATCAGTACAAAGAACGCGAAACATTCGAAACTCAGTACTTCGGCGTGATAGCTGCCGCTCGAGATATGTTGACGCGGTCAGCGCCTGCGAGTGCTGAAACGGACTCAGGTTCGGTTGCTGGTTCTGCATCTAAAGGTTGGCCAAAATTGAAATTGCCTTCTATCAGTATACCGAGCTACTCGGGCCAGTATCTCAATTGGTTGGAATTCCACGACACTTACTCCACTCTCATACATTCAGATAATTCAATTCCTAAAATTAATAAATTTCACTATTTGCGCGCTGCACTTAAAGATAGCGCCGCATTAATCATTAGTTCACTTGATTTCTCAGCTGAAAATTATGATGTTGCATGGCAGCTTCTATGCGAACGGTATAACAATAAAAGACTTTTAATCAATAATCATATTCATGCTATTTTTGCTATTGAGTCTATACAAAGAGAGTCGGCTAAGGCATTGCGCAACATTATAGACACTGTCAATAAAAATCTGAGAGCTCTCAAAACACTTAAATTACCCACTGACCACTGGGACATATTAATTATACATATAGTCTCGAGTAAACTCGATATCATTACAACTCGCGAATGGGAAACGTATCGTTATAATCTTAAAGATATTCCATCGCTTTTAGATTTCAATACCTTTTTAAAAAATCGTGCAGATCTATTGGAAACAATGGACGAGTCACAAAACCGTAGGCACAGTGATACTACACATACACGTCACAAATCTTTTATAGCGAACTCACACTCTCCACCCACTCGAACATACACATGTCCCTTATGTAAACACAACCATGCTATTTATCAATGTCCAAAATTTAAATCGTTGCCAGTTGAAATAAGAATACAAAAGGCAAAATCATTAAAATTATGTATTAACTGTTTGCGTCAAGGACACAATGAAACCAAATGCAAACTAGGTCACTGCAAACTTTGTCTTAACTCTCATAATACTTTACTTCATGTCAATCATTCATCACTTACACCACAGTCATCTACTATTCCAACTTCAACAAGTAGCAGTGTCGTCTTGACTAATTCACATCAGAATAACACAAAACAGAAAACAAAACCAATTGATGACACATCGTCAAAATCTTTAACTACACATAGTGATATAGTCCTTTCCTCTGTCGATAACACGCAAAATGTTGTATTATTATCCACAGTCACGATTGACGTTGAAGACAGCAATGGTCACAAACACAAAATACGCGCTTTGCTAGATAATGGAAGTACTTCAAGCTTCATTACTAATAATTTACTTTCCAAACTCTCATTATCAACCTGTTCAACGTCGACATTAGAGTTGAAGGGTTGAATCAACAATCTTCACATATTCTCAAACGCTGTGATGTCATTATATCATCACTAGCAAACACATATACAAATAAGATTAATTGCTTTGTTGTGCCACGCATTACACAACAGTTGCCAATTACACAAATAGATTACACATTAATAAACATACCTTCACACATTACATTAGCTGATCCATCATTTCATACTCCTTCTCAAATCGACATGTTACTAGGAGCAGACATTTTCTGGAACGTCTTATGTTCCGGTACCATTCCATTAGGTAGAAACAAACCAACTCTTAGAGAAACAAAACTAGGCTGGTTAGTATCTGGCACTATACAAACAAATTCATTTAAATCAAACGTTAATCAGCAATCATATCATACAGTCCACTCTCATTTTACTAATACTATCGATGACGAATGTTTACAAAATCATCTTACTAAGTTCTTCGAACTCGAAAATGTACCGACACACGCTGCAATAACTAAAGAAGAACAAAGGTGTGAACAAATCTTTATACAAACAACCTGTCGTCAATCAGATGGCCGTTTCATTGTAAATATTCCATTAAAATCAACACCAGACGCTTTAGGTGATTCTTACAATCAAGCATTATCCAGATTCTTATCTTTAGAACGCAGGTTCCAACGTGATACAAATTTCAAAGCTTTATACACAGATTTCATGAGAGAGTACATTGAGTTAGGACATATGTCAGAAAACACAAATCCACAGGAAGATACACAATCATATATTTTGCCACATCATGGAGTAATGCGTGAAACAAGCTCTACTACCAAGTTACGGGTCGTGTTCAATGCATCTGCAGTCACGACATCTGGCGTATCCTTTAATGACATTCAGCTAGTGGGTCCAACAGTACAAGATGACCTCATAAGCATTTTAATTAGATTTCGTCAGCATAAATATGTTGTCACTGCAGATGTTGAAAAGATGTACCGTATGATAAATGTTAATGAAAATCAACGTATCTTACAACAAATATTATGGCGGTTTGAACCGACAGATAAGTTAAAACAATATAAACTCAATACAGTAACATACGGCACAGCTTCAGCACCTTACTTGGCGACGAGATGCATTAAGCAATTGGCAAATGAATGCTTAGAAGAGTCTGTAGCTGTAATTATTAATCACGATTTCTACGTTGATGACTTGATTACAGGCGCAGACTCACAAACTCAACTCGTGAACAACTGTAGAAGTGTAAAACAACAATTAGGAAATAGTCAGTTTCATCTACGAAAGTGGAATTCTAATAATCCACAAATCGTTAATCAAATCGTTGGCGAAAATGGCCGTGACTCATTGCTCAACATCATAAAAAATGAGTCTTCCAAAACGTTAGGATTGCTTTGGAATTATAAAGAAGACATACTGATGTTTTCATTTAACACAATGCAACATAAAGAAATAACTAAACGTGAAATTCTTTCTATTATCTCACAAATCTTCGACCCATTGGGGTTAATTAATCCATGTGTGTTAGAAGCTAAAATAGTACTACAACAATTATGGGCATCTAAATTATCGTGGGACGAAAACGTCCCTGACAAATTAAAATCAACGTGGCTTAAAATAATGAGTAATTTGTCATATTTGTCTGATATCAAAATACCACGGCACATTATATGTAACGACCCAGAGGTAATCGAATTACATGCCTTTAGCGATGCCTCTGTGCATGCATATAGTGCATGTATTTATCTTAGATCCATTGCTCAAAATAAAATCATCTCTGTTCATTTGTTGACAGCAAAAAGCAGAGTATCACCTATAAAACCGATGACCATCCCCCGCTTAGAGCTGTGTGGCGCTTTCCTTTCTGCCCGATTGACAGAGAAAGTTAAATCTTCACTAAGATTGCAAATATCTAGCTGTACATATTGGTGTGACTCAACAATTGTTTTAAGTTGGCTTAAAATTACCAAAAATCAGTTACTCAAATCTTTTGTCAATAACAGAGTAAGCGAAATTTTAGAAACTTCTAACACATCAGAATGGCGTTATATACCCACAAATTTAAATCCTGCTGATATAGGGTCACGCGGTTTAAATGCAAAACAGTTAAAAAATTGCAAGTTGTGGTGGTCAGGACCATCTTTTCTTCTTCATCAAGATAAATCCACATGGCCAACACAACCTACACAAATACATGAACACGACTTACCTGAAACCAAGGTTCAGTGTCACGTTAACGCGTCATTGTCACAATTTTCTTCGTTCATAGAACGATTTTCTGATTTCAGCAAGTTACAGCGTGCTTCAGCATACATTTTGAGATTCATCTATAATTGTAGACATCCTTACACAAAACGAATAGGCTATTTACAGATACACGAGCTTCAGAATGCTCACAATATGTTGTGTAAAATCGCACAGGCTGAATCTTTCAAACCCGAATACAATTTGTTAAGTAAGAATAAATTATTGCCATATAAAAACAAATTCTTATATTTGAACCCATTTTTACATTCAGACGGTTTAATTCGCGTTGGAGGCAGACTATCTAACTCATACTATGATTATGATACAAAACATCCGATTATGATGCATGCTTCTCATTATATTACACAATTAATATTTCGTTATTATCACAAAATACTAATTCACGGAGGTCCTCAACTACTCACAGCAAGCACACGTCATAAATACTGGACAATAGGAGCACGTAATCTCTCCAGAAAAATTGTACACAACTGTGTCAAATGTTGTCGATTTTCGGGTAAAAGTATTCAACCAATTATGGGAAATTTACCTAAACAGCGTCTACACGCTGACTATCCATTCATTAATACAGCAGTTGACTACGCCGGGCCAGTCATGATAGTGAGTCGAAGTGGCAGAGGGTGCAAATTAATTAAATCATATATGTGTATATTTGTATGTTTGGCAATCAAAGCAGTACATATAGAACTGGTAACCGACCTGTCTAAGGATGCATTTATTTCTGCTTTAAATCGTTTCATTTCTCGCAGGGGTAAACCCGTCAACATTTTCTCAGATAATGGAAAATGTTTCATAGGCGCAAGTAATGAATTAGATAAATTTTTAAAATATAATTCGGATGATATTAGTTCTTACTTTGCTAATACAATGATTAACTTTAAGTTTAGTCCAGCATATAGCCCTCATTTCAATGGGTTGGCTGAAAGCGCCGTCAAGGCTGTTAAACATCACTTAAAAAGAGTAGTTTCCTTTGCACATTTAACATATGAGGAAATGAATGCATTATTAATACAAATTGAGGCGATTTTAAACTCTAGACCTCTCACTCCTATTTCATGTGATCCCTCAGACCTAGAAGCGCTTACCCCTTCCCATTTCCTTATTGGACGTGCACTCACTCTGTTACCTTCTCCACAAACCACAGTCACTGATTATGCCAAGATCTGCACGCTCTCACGTTACATGAGAATACAAGTGCTGAAGGCTCATTTTTGGAATAGATTTTATAAAGAATATATTTCAGAACTCCAGACCAGACACAAATGGAAGCAAACTAACGGACAACTTCAAATCGGCGAAATGGTGCTAATTAAAGATGACCGTTTGCCGCCAAGTCGCTGGTTGCTCGGGCGAGTGACCACTCTTTATCCTGGGTCAGATGGCATCACCCGTGTTGCTGACGTGCGAACCGCAACAGGAACTCTTCGACGCGCATTCAACAGACTGTGTCCACTGCCAATATTAATACACCCGGAGGTAGCAGACCAAGATCTTCCGCAGTCTTCGTGTGCTGATGGAGGACAACCTTGACTTTGCTGGGGCGGAAATATGTTACGGCTTTGTGTCGTGCATCTCGCTCACACATTCCAGCGCGTTGTCTGTGACAGCTGCCACCGTTTATAGTTTTAATTGTCAGTACAATTACGATCGTCCTACTGTATAGCCACCCAGGCAAAATTAAGTATCTTACTGCCCACTCCCCTATCTCTTGCATTGAAACTACTCAATGATATTTTTAGCCAGTATCCGCAATTGGATGTATTTGCCTCCAACTTGCTGGAGTTTCGTCGAGTGACCACAGAGTATCTGTGTTCACACGTTTTTCCAGTTAAATCTTTTTTATATTATTTTGGTTATTTTCGTGTAATATTCCTTTTTATATGTTATTGTACTCATGCTTTCCTGGGTGAGCGTATTGAAGGACTGTAAGGCTCACCCAGTGGATGTAATAAATAAATAATATAATGCAATTAATTTAATTTTGTCTAATTTGTTTAAAAATTGTCCCAATATTGTACACCGCTGTACCCGCTGACTTTGATGCTCCTTTCCACTTTGGGTGTTGCTGGAAGAGAACTCTATTAGAGTTAAGCTCGCCTTTGTACATTTGATTACCTCTGGTGTCTTATAACTGGTGTGTACAATAAAGAATTAAAAATAATAACAATTATCTAAGATATTTTTTTTTATAGACGGTAATGGAATGGTAACCCCGTTTGCGCTATCGGTAGCCAGCGTATCCCGTTAGCGTAGGCGGGGTTACCATACCATTCTCACCCATCAAAAAAAAAAAATAAACGGGATACGCTGGCGAAGCACCAGTGAAGGGTGATAGATAAGAATGAAAACAGGCCAGTTAGCCCATCGTGATGAATTCATCAGGAATTAACCATGATAGTTTCCAGGGGGAACCGCGAGGAGGTCGACCTGGTTGGGTATATTGCTGACAATGAGATTCTCATTCTCCATTACTAACAATCTCTTTCCCCTCCTTTGCCAGTAGTTGCCACGCTTGGCAGGCGGATCGGCAACCGTAGTCAGGGCTTTAAAGATGGTTTAAGAGGGACGCTACTGCCCATTCTACGCCCTCCCTTAGTCGCATCCTACGACACCCACGGGAAAGGAAGTGGTGGCCTATTCTATGCCGGGACCACACGGCTATAAGATACTATGATCTGTATAAACTAACACTGCAATTAAAAGCTTGATATTTACCCTGTTCTGGTTGTCGGTGGCCGGTTCCTCTGCAGCCTGCTTATGCTGTGGTTCCCTCTTAGTGCTCTTGGCGGGCGAGTATGGACGGCGCAGTGGCATGACCGCAGGAATACTGTAGTATATATATTTATTTATTGTACTTATAAAAAAACCGACTGATTGTAAAACTTGTTAACAAATGTGGGCTTATCTCCAAAAGAGATCTCGAGTCAAACCCATGGAGTAAGAGAAAAACTATACAACTATGGTTAAACCCTTAATATTTACTCATAAAAATGCCTTATAAACCTATTTTAGCTATTGAAGTGGTAAACGTCGCCTATAGACATGAACAGTACCATGGACATAACAGAGTATACTGTTTCACCCATGATACCTCCCATGCGTTGCCATTCCTGAAAACTCAGATGTTATTCCTCTGTACCCTATAAATTCACTGCTACATCTGCCACCCTTCAAACCGAAACACAGCCATGCAAACACAACTGCTTCACGATAGAAACACGAATGTGACAGAGGTACCCAAGCAATCGACTTTTGTACAAAGCCTGGCTATGTGACCAGCCCATTGCCACTTTTGATTGCTCATCCTTCAAATAGTTACACTACTAAATAAAATTTACTAATTGTTAAAATATATTTATGGAACGTTCTAAATAAATATAAACATATAAAAATATTTGTTTCAAATAACTGCTGTTTTTAATGTTTTTTTTTGACGAGTGAAAATGGTATGGTAACCCCGCCTGCGATAACGGGATACGCTGGCGGAGCACCAGTGAAGGGCGATAGATGAGAATGAAAACAGGCCAGTTAGCCCATCATGATGAATTCATCAGGAATTAACCATGAAAGTTTCCAGATGGAACCGCGAGGAGGTCGACCTAGTTGGGTATATTGCTAGCAATAGGATTCTCAATCTCCATTACTAACAATCCCTTTCCACCTGTTTTTATGTTTTATAATGGCAACTCCGCCTATACTATCAGTATACACTGACAGGAGCACCAGCAAGTGATAAAAGATAAGAATGAAGTCAGGACAGATGGCCCATTTTAAGACTTCTAAATGGTGTAACATCTAAAAATGCTCATTAGTTTTCCTACTCCTATTGTAAATATATAAAAAATAACTTGTTTTTATATGTATGTTAAGGGCAGGATCAGTCTATTTAAGCACTTACGCTGGCTGAGCCTCAGTAGAGTTATTGGCATGTTGCCCATCCAGCCTTCCACCGGCCAATCTGAAAGAAACATTATAATTTTGTTACTAGTCGTGTTAAGCGGCTTTGCTCGTGTGAATCAGTTACTCTCTTATTCCTAACAATGTCAAACCTTTTATAAACCTTTATTTTAACTGCTCCCTGCTGAACATAAGCCTTCCCCATAAGGGAAGTTTTGCCAGTTACCGCACTTGGCAAGTGTGGTAACTGGCAAAACTTGGGTACCTCAGTCCCATTCAGGTTTCTACCGTGAAGCAGTTGTGTTTGGATGACTGGGTTTCGGTTTGAAGGATGGGATATGGCGTAAATTTACTGGGTACAGAGGAATAACACCTGAGTCCTCAGGAATGGCAACGCATGGGAGGTATCATGGGCGAAACAGTATACTCTATTATGTCCATGGTACTGCTCGTGTCTATAGGCGACGGTTACCACTTTCCATCAGGTGGGCCGTCAGCTTGTTTACCATTCTAGGTCGTACAAAAAAAAAACACGGGAAAGGAAGGGGTGGCCCATTTTACGCCGGGGCACACGGCGTCCTTAATTAAGTGCGATGAAATCCCTCACCTGGCCAGGTTGTGGCAGACAGCCTTGTGTCGGTCGGACCAGTCCCTGCGCTGGCAGGCGGGCGAGCAGTACGGCGTGACGCCGCAGCGGGCGCAGTACAAGTCGGCCTCCTCGCTGCCGCACGTGACACACGCGCGCGACCTCACGCGCTGAAGCGCGGGAATTTTTAGCTGCGTCCAATTTTTGTGTTCAATTTGGTGTGCGCGAGTATTAAATTTTTACCCCTCATAGAATAGCAAGCAAGCAGACGACCTACAGGATGGTATGCGCAAATATGGATGGTATCCCATGTATTTTTAGCTTATAAACTGTTTTGTGTCTCTTTCTTTTACACTAAATTCCCAAATTAAAAGAACAAAATAGAGTAACATTAAAGTAGATTAAAAAAAAAGGCCGGCAGCACACCTGCAATGCCGTAGGTGTTGTGGGTGACCATGGGCGCGGTAGTCACTTACCATCAGGTGAGACGCATGCTCATTTGCCCCCTGTGTTGTAAAAAAAAAAGAAGATTCGTAAGTTTTAATTTTTATGATAAATAAAGCTAAATAAATAAAGCTCGGATATTGCAATCAACTCTGAGGCACCATCTCCCCAAATCTACGATTTAATGGTTTTGTTGTTGTTTGGGGGAAATAAGTTCAAAAACATACTTTGTCTTTTCACATATATTATATACAGAAGGTAAATATTATATACAAAGGAATATGTAGAAAATAATTAATAAAAACGGAAATTAGAAGTGTAAGAGACAAGCGATCGAGATGGAGAGAATGACAGCAGAAATGAATGTAAGAAGTAAACGTCGCAGTCATGTCTGTACGACCAGTCCGAAGGAAAGAAAGAGGTGAAATATCTATGTACAATTTAATTAACCAACTTGATGAAAAAGAAAGTAATGAAATGGCTATGAGATGAATATTTACAATATTTACAGACGTTATTATAGTAGATACCTATCAAGTATTACGACACACCTTCAACAGCGATCGGATCGGACCACCTAGCATGACGCAAGAAGGTGCGCTACCGAGAAAGACACCTGCGTCCAGTCAGCATTTCAATTCCCGCAGCAAAAATACCCATTTCCTTTATGTTTGATTTGATATAACTTCACTTACGGATCACACATCGATCTGAAGACACTTATTATTGTAATAATTAATTTTAGAATTAAATTTAGTTATATTTATAAAATTGGTTTTTTTTTGGGTCTTCCGCCAGCGACTTCAATAACTGACGACACAGTTTAATTTATTAATTTACGCGCAATTACCTTTAGTTGCCAACTGTTTTATATACCATCATAAATTAAATTCTAATATTTTTTACTTATATCTCTATTAGAAATTTACCAATTGCCAGTATTTGCTACGCTTGGCAAGTGAGTTGACAAACGCAGTTTTGCTTTTGGTAATGTTTTAAGAGAGACGCTGCTACCCATCCCTCGCCTTTTCTTAGTCGCCTCTACGATTCCCCTCGACCATTCAGTTCCCTAGTCGCCTCTTACGACACCCACCAGAAAGAAAGGAAGAGGTACATCGACCTAGACCTTTTAAATAGTCTAGGCGTGTTAAAGCAATAAAGTGATTCAGTCTATTTCAATAGGAATTAAAGAAAAAAACTAAGAGTTTTCTTGACTACAGAAACACGGTCCAAATTAAATATTTTTTTTTTTAATTTTGTCTATCTAACTGTACATTCGTTCCGACATCACGTAAAAACTAGTGCATCTGGGAGGAAAGGGATTGATAGCAATGGAGTTAGACAGCCCCATTGCTAGCAATATGCGCTATTAGGTCCTCCTCCACGTGGTTCCCCCTGGAAACCATCGTGAACAATTCTTGTTGAATTCGTCACGATGGGCTAACTGACCTACTTCATCCTCACCTATCATCCTTTACTGGTGCATTGCGTGTATTCTATTATCATCCATTAAAAAAAAAACTACTGCATCAATTTCGATGCAGTTTTCAAACTTATATACCTGTAGGCGTGACATAAAAATTATAATGTATGTTATATCTTCAAATGCCATCCAGAAGTCGATCATTACATTAGTTTTCCTACTTCTGAAATTGACACGTACGAAATCTACACTAATATTATAAAGAGGAAAGATTTGTATTTTTATGTGTATGTATGTTTGTAATGAATAAACTCAACAACTACTTTGCCAATTTCAAAAATTCTTTCACCATTAGAAAACTACATTCACCCTGAGTAACATAGACTATATTTATTGTTAGAAAATATTAGGGATCCTTACTAAAACTTTAGTAATGTACCTCAAGGTGTAAAAAATGCTATAAAATATCTTGCGTCGCGTGCGCTGCGGAAACTATTGGTGATAGAACAAAAGTATGTTCTACAATATTGGACTTCGTACTTCGCGACACTATATGTCCAACTATTATCCTTATGTCACAATAACCATTTTTTAAAATGTTGTAAAAATATCCTCCCGTACGAAGCAGGAACGGGCCAATAGTTGTGAATAAAAAGCTAGTTGAACCAATAATTTGCCTGAAGCTGCCTCGTTTTTTGGTTTAGTGGTGAAATACGTGCAGCAAAACTGGCGTGAACGAAATGACAGCCGGAGATTGATGACTAACATAAAAGGTGGTGAACTTCTAGTAATAATAGTGGTCAATCTTCGAATGTTGGCAGCCACATACATAGCATTGGTAGCGGAATTAAACAAAATAATTCAAATGAAATAATGAGTAATATAGGAGTTCCCCGCAAGATAAAAACTATTTTAATAAAATAGTTTTTGACTATATTTAGACATTGTTAACCAACCTTACTTGCAAAGGAAACAATATTTTTATTTTTTTATTACTTTTGTTTGACAAAGGTTAATGAGATCGTAATGATTATGTTTGATGGAAACAAAATTAGGTAGTAATTTTTACCAGAAAGAGACTGTACAAAAGTCGTTTTGCTTGGGTACCTGGTGTCACATTCGTGCTTCATTCGCGAAGCAGTTGTTTGCATGGCTGTTTCGGTTTGAAGGGTGGTATATGGCAGTGAATTTACAGGATACAGAGGAATAACAAATGAGTCCTCATGAATAGCAATGCATGGAGGGTATAAAGGTGCAAAACAGTATATTCTGTTATGTCAACAGTACTGCTCATGTCTATAGGCGACGGTTACCATTTTCAAGCAGGTGAACCATCAGCTTGTTTGTCATATTAAGTTGCATGAAAAAAATAGAACTAATTATTACCTAACAGCATTATTAATTTAATAAAAAAAATGAAAAATAAAATCTTCATATAAATTTATTTAAAATCATAAAAACTACATTAAATGCATAATCAGGAAACAAAAATTATTTTAAGTCGTCACATTGTATTAAAAACGAAAAAAAAAAAACAACACAATTATAAATTAGACAAAGTCATAATAAAAAATCCTAAACATAAGTAAATTAAAAAATAAAAAAAAAACATTAAATCAATGGAATTCGTGGTGGGAATTATTAGAGAGCGTATATCACAAGATTGCATCATGTACATATTAGAATCAAACAGCCTTTCAAGTGTTCACCAGAGGAACTGAACATTTTACTCAAAAAAAGAAAAAAAAAAAAGAGATGAAAAACACAAAAAAATATGGCATCTAATTAATTTATCATTAATTAATTAGATAGATAGATATATCGTTTATTTGTTTGTTACTAATCACACACAACATGTTCATAAGAAATGGATAATACATAAAACAACATAAGATTTATAAAATTGTGTTATTACGTGTGATCTGCAGCAATACAAAAAGGTCGAAGCTCAGCGTGGAACATTGTTCAAGGAACAAAACACTGATTTTCAGCTTTAACCCATTCGAGGGTACGTGAAAATAATAATTAAAATAAATATAAAATAAAAAGAGCAATATTTTCGATATATGATAATTCAATAATTAATAACATCTAAATAGTGTGTTTCACAAACAAAAAACAAACTAATTCAGTTGTGGCAAAACCATTTCAATTTCAAAATTAAACTACTGAAATTGTTAAAGATTGGAGAATTTCGAAAATAAAACTTTGTGCCCTTTCGCTGGAAAAGCGCATGGGACTCGATTGATGAATTTTAAAACATTACATCTCGAGTCTTTCGAACATACGAGTGAATAAGCAATTTTAATATGTCCTGTAAAATGGGTTAAAGCTGAAAATCAGTGTTTTGTTCCTTGAACAATGTTCCACGCTGAGCTTCGACCTTTTTGTATTGCTGCAGATCACACGTAATAACACAATTTTATAAATCTTATGTTGTTTTATGTATTATCTATTCTTATGAACATGTTGTGTGTGATTAGTAACAAACAAATAAACGATATATCTATCTATCTATCTGTCTGTCTATATACTATAACCTTACCAATGACATTTGTTGATTTTATAATGTTTGGACAATTATTAAAAATTGTTTCATTCCTTCATACATTTTCTGTTTACTGTAAAATTGTTTTACAATATCTTCTTACAACTTATAAACAATATTCAACGCCATGTTATATTGTTACGAATAAACTAAATTGATTTTAATAAAATTTGAAGGGAACCAATCTGTAAGTATATCCTTTCAAATAAAAATAAAAAGTTTCCCAAATCCGTTTACAACTAACGAAGTTATGGGGTAACAAACATGCAAAAAAAAAAACAACAGAATTGAAAACGTACTTCTTTTTGAAGGCCTTTGAAACGCCCTCAAAATGGATAGGTAAGCTTGACGCGTCATGTTAGTTTGGGAGAGGTAAGAGATTTTTTTGTGAAATAGTAGCACCTTAACAGAGATTTCGAAGCTGGCGAGAGTTCGAGCGAACCGAATAGAGAGAGGTAACGAGTTCCACAGGCAAACTGCATGGACAGTAAAGGATTTAGAATAGTAGGAAGTGGAATGAGCGGGAACTTTGAAACGGAGGTTGTTGACACTGAGTGAAATGAGGCCATTGGCCTCACTGAGAAACAAGAAAAGGTCTTGGAACAATGGTGTTAAAAAGCATTGCGTAAAGGTGACATAGGATATGTAAATTACGACGAAAACGGATAGGGAGCCTTTTGAGTACTAAATTCAGAATACGATCATATTTGCAGAGACCAAATATCAAACTTGTTTATTAGCAAGGTTGTCACTAT